ACGGTTTTTCCTGCCCGGGCTGGCTTTGAACCGCGATCCTCAGATCTCAGCCTCCTGAGTAGCTAGGATTACAGGCGTGAGCCACCAGTGCCCCGGCTACTCCTGTCTTCTTAATTCTGTCCCTCCTCCAGCCCAGGGCTTTTATATGCTCTAGAGCAAAGGTTGGATCACTCTTCCTTTTCCTTCCTTCCTTTCCTTTCCCTCCCTCCCTCCATCTCTTTCTCTCTCCCTCCCTCCCTTCCTCCCTTCCTCTCTCTCTCTTGTGGTACTGGGGTTTGAACTCAGGGCTTTGCACTTGCTAGGCGGATACTCTACCACTGGGCTAAATCTTAGCATGGTTCCTTGAATGATAGGTGAAGCAGAAGTACCTGATGGTGGGCAGAACAATGAAGGAATACGAAGACCGGAAATACGAGCAGTGGAAGGAAGCCACAGAGCAGACCCTCCCGAGTCTCATGAAGAAGAGCCTTCTCACCAAGGTCGGCTGTCCCTTACTTTTGGTGGCACTGGAGTTTAAACTCAGAGCCTTGTGCCTTCTGGGCATCTGCTCTACTGCTTGAGCCACATCCAAAGCCCTTTTTGGTTTTTGTTTTCTTTCTTTCCTTCTTTTTATTTTATTTTATTTGTGAACATACTGTACAGAGGGGTTACAATTACCTGGGCAGGATAATGCATACATTTCTTACCAAGCATTTCAGCCTCCTCCTTTGTTTACCCTTCACATCCCTTCCCAGCCTCCCCCCTCCCCCCTTTCCTTCTTTCTTTCTTTCTTTCCTTCCTTCCTTCTTTCTTTCTTTCCTTCCTTCCTTCCTTCTTTCTTTCTTTCCTTCTATCTATCTCTTTTTCCTTTCTTTCTTTCTCTCTTTCTTTCTTTCTTTCTCTCTATCTCCCTCTCTTTCTTTCTCTCTTTCTTTGCCTGGGCCAGCTTGGACATGACCCTCCTTTTTAGCTTGGATGCAGGTGTGTGATACCACACTCAGCTGTTGAGATGGAGTCTTAAGAACTTTTTACCTGGGCTGGCCTCCCATCATGATCCTCTGATTTCTACCTCCCAAGGGAGAACCATTGTGCCTATGTGTGGCATTCTCTTGAGATAGACCCTGTGGAGTTTGGTGAGGTTGGAAGGAAAGGGAGTAAGTCAGCACAATGCCTGCCATGGGTAGGAAATGGCCCATTGAGTATGAGCAAGAAGCCTAGCTCTGAGTCTCAGTTTCCCTGTTTAGAAATGGGTGGAGCGGATGCCATTAGCAGCATCCAGCAGCATCCTTCATGCAACCCATCCTTCTCTCAGCACCAGGCTCTCTGCATGCAGTAGGCACTCAATAATTCAGTACTAGCTGTTAGGGAAAGGAGATGGGACTGGGCAATGTTAAGTCTTTGGTTCTTGAAATTCTAGCAAAGGGGGGAGCCAAGTGGAGGGAGAGAGCCGATGGGAGGACAGGGGCCTGGGCTGCGGCCCCCCCACAAGGAGCCAGCCCAGCCCCAGCCTACCCTAGACATAGTCAGAGTCCCCAGTTCTTGATGGGAGCCAGATCCTGGAATTTTATGTGAAATCACCCAGTTTGCTGACTAAATCAAACTCCTTGAAAACCCCATTCCACGGGAAAAAAACAAAATGCTTAAATAGGGATACAGGTTGACCCATTGTAACAACGAGATGCACAAAACACTATATTGAAAAACAAAGCTTACAATTTAGGCCGGTGGGGGGGGTGGGTAGTGTAGCTGTGAAGGTGGGAAGGAAGGGATGGTAGAGGAAAAACAAAGGAGGGGGTAACAATGCTCTATAGGAAATTTACTCATTACCTTGCTCCTGTAACTGTAACCCCTCTGTACAGTATTCTCACAATAAAAAAGTATTAAAAAGAAAACAAACCATTCCCCAAACAAACAGTATTCCCGCCAGCTCCGGTCTGTGGGTCACTCAGGGTCATGGGAGCTGGGGTCACTGGAATCACCACCTCACCCCAGAACTGGCTCTTTGCAGACGGAGGAGTCCTCGGGCCTGGGCACAGAGAAGGGGGCTGTGTTTGTCATCAACTTCTCTCCTGCCCTCAAAGAGATCATCAATGAGACCAAATACATGGAGCAGCTGGGCTTCAGCATCCCCGAGCTGGCCCGCAACGTGGCGCTCCAGGAAGACAAGTTACTCAGGTAGAGTCTGTGCCCCTTGGAGGTTTCTGTTTGGTTTCTCAGTGCCCGGAATAAAAACGCAGGCCTGATGCCTGCGAGGTGAGCACTGTGCTATTTGAGCCAGGATCCCAGTCTAGAACATTCATCTCCTAAACTACCTCTTAAAAATGATCAAAGATGTCAAGCACTAGTGGCTCATGCCTGTAATCTTAGCTACTCAGAGGAGGCTGAGATTTGAGGATCGCAGTTTGAGGCCAGTCCGTGCAGACAATCCAAGAGACTCTTATCTCCAGTGAACCACTAAAAAGCCAGAAGTTGAGCTGTGGTTCAAGGGTAGAGTGCCAGACTTGAGAGAAAAAGCTAAGGAATAGCTCCCAGGCCCTGAGTTCAAGCCTCAGTACTGGTGCTCATGCGTATGTGTGCTCGCGTACATGCACACACATGCACATGTGTGCGCACACACACAGACAGACACAAATACACACAAAAATAATTGAAGGCCAATCCCTCCCTCAAAGCATTCATTGTGGGCATTCTACCTCCCAATCCTGAGCACTTCAGAAATTAAAACTTAAGTATTTCAAAAGAACAGTGACATTAATTACTGTTGAAATGCCATTTCCTTTTGCAGTGGGCGGGAGTGGGGCAGGCCGTGGGCACGCCAGGCCCGCACTCCTCCACTGAGCCACACTCAGCTCTGCAGATCAATTCAATTATTTTTGACAGTACTAGAATTTGAACTCATGGCTTTGAGTTTGACTGTGGCCTTTGAATGTAGTTCATTGGTTAATTGTGCTGATCCTGGGGCTTGAACTCAGGGCCTGGGCACCGTCCCTGAGCTATGGTACTCAAAACTAATGCTCTACCACATAAGCCATGGCTCCACTTCTGGCTTTTTGGTGGCTCATTGGAGATAAGAATCTCAAGGACTTTCCTGCCCAGGCTGGCTTTAAGTGCGGTCCTCAGATCTCAGCCTCCTCCTAACTGGCTGAGATTACAGGCATGAGCCACCAGTGCTGGCTAGCTGCAGTTGTTAAGCCTGGGGCATGATGCAGGTACACGGATGGGATACAGCGCATGCTGGACCACTACCACATGCTCATTGGCACGCTGAATGACGCCGAGATGCTCCTCCTGGCTGATCACTCCCAGGAGCTCATCCGCGTGTTTCGCTCTGGACACAAGAGGCTCAACTGGAACTCACTAGGTACCAAAGCCCCTGCCCACCACTTCCACACTTGATATAAATGGAATAGCATGTATGGAATCTGGTGGGCTGTGACTTTTCTGCTCAGCCTAATTCTCTGAAGACTCGTCCAGTTACTGCATGCAGTTGTGTGTCCTTTTCCTTGTTGGGTAGTGTTCCACACGGTACTATTGACTTTTGCAGGGCACTTAGATTATTTTGATGTTGGGTAGCTGCTGTGCAGTGGACAGGGTTCTGTGTGGACACAAGTTGCCTTTTTTTTTCTGAGATTAAACACTCAAACATTCAACTGCTCAGTCATATGGCAGCTGCATGTTTAATAGGTTAGAAAGTGTACTGTTTTCTAGAGTAGCTGAGCCATCCTCCCTTCTTCCACCCTCCTTTCTTCTCCACTCTCCTCCCCTTCGCTCCCTTCCCCTCTACTCTCTTCTTTTCCTTCCTTCCTTCCTTCCTCTCTCTCTCTTTCTCTTCCTTCCTTCCTTCCTTCCTTCCTTCCTTTCTTTCTTTCTTTCTTTCTTTCTTTCTTTCTTTCTTCTGTGCTGGTACTGAATGGGACTTGAATTTAGGGCCTTGTCCTCTTGCTCAGCTTTTTTGCTCAAGGTTGGATTACTACCACTTGAGCCTCACCTTTGCTTCTTTTTGCTAGCTTTTTTCTGGTTCATTGAAGATAAAAGTCTCTTGATGTGTCTGCCCAGGCTGGCTGTGAACCGTGATCCTCATATCTCAGCCTCTGAGCAGCTAGGATTTCGGGTGTGAGCCACCAGTGCTCAGTTCCTTTTGTTTATTTCAGAAAGTCTCCCTGTGCAGCCAGGCTGGCTCTGGCCTCACAGTCCTGCTGCCTCAAGTCTCAGTCTCCTCCTTAAATCACACACACTCATACACGTATCTGCACACATCTAAGCACACACAAGAGAGCCATTTTTAATGACCCTGGTTGATTGGGGTGCAGTCTCGGGGGGCTGTAGGCTAGCGGGAGGCGCAGAGCGGCTGCCTGCAGGTGCCTGGCTGCCGTCACAGCAGGGGGAGGGGTGGGCCCGCTGGCCCCTTGATGTCTTTCTGTTTCTCCAAAGGTATCGCTGACTACATAACTCGGTGCAAGCAGGCCATTGGGAAGTTTGAGTCTCTTGTCCATCAGATTCACAAGAATGCAGAAGACATTTCTTCCCGGCTCATGCTGATCGAGGCCATAAATCTCTTCAAGTACCCCATGCCGAAGAGCGAGGAGGAGCTCCCCAGTGCGTGGTGCCTGCTCCTCTGGGTGGGGGATAATAGGAAATGCCATCAGGATCTCATTTAGACACAGAATCTGTGTAGAATACATGCATGCAGAGTAACTAGCTAGTTGTGGAAGAAAAGAGTCTCAGACAAGGCTTATATCTAATATATACATAAATATATCGAATATACACATAAATAGGTATAATTATTATATGCCAGACATCACATAGACTTAATTTCATGTTGCATATATAGTCTGTGAATGTACTAATTCATTCCCAGTGATCTCATTTACATGAAAGGACAGTGAGTACAGCCCCCAGTTTTGCCGTGTTTTCTGTATAGTTGAAGTGAACTTACAGATCCTTCTTAGTATTTTTGGTGTTGGAGTTTGAACTCAGGGCCTCATGTGTCCTTGGTATTTTCCCTGCATGTCTGGACTTTGTGAAGGTCAGGTTTTGTCCATACTTTGTATAGGAACCCAAGTTACTTTTTTTTTTTTGGCGGTCATGGGGCCTGAACTCTGGGCCTGGGCACTGTTCCTCAGCTCTTCAGCTCAAGGCTAGTGCTCTACCACTTGAGCCATAGCACCAGCTTTTACTTTTTGCTTATGTGGTGCTGAGAAATTGAACCCAGGGCCTCATGCATGCAAGGCAAGCGCTCTACCACTGAGCCACCTTCCCAGCCCCTAAGTTACTTTTTGTTGTTGTTGGCTGTGCTGGGGTTTGAACTCAGGGCCTTGAGTTGGTGAGGCGGGCGCTTTACTGTGGAACCACGTCCCAGCCCATAAGCCAAGGCCTTCCCTGCTCACATTCACTGGTCCACATGAGATATTTGAAAGACAAATAGGACAGCCAAGGCCAAGGGCGCCCAGTGTGTGGACCCCCCCCCCCGCCATGGCCATGGGTCTCATCCAGGCTGGTCCTGTTGGTACTGGCCATTCTCCACTGCCGGTCAGCCTGGGAGGCGCCCCCTGCTTTTCCTCACTTGTTCTGTGGAGCCCTTGTGGGTGGTGGTAGCAGGCGGTGACTGGGGGCTCCTCCACAGGCGTGAAGGAGTTCTTCGAGCACATTGAGCGGGAAAGGGCCAAAGATGTGGAGCACATGGTCAGGTGGTATCTGGCCATCGGGCCTCTGCTCACCAAGGTGGAAGGCCTGGTCATCCACACCAACACGGGCAGGGCGTCCAAGCTAGCGCCCTACTATGAGTACTGGGAGGGCAAGATCTACGATGTCCTCACGAAGCTCATCCTCAAGTAAGCATGTGCGCACTCGCGCCCCCGCCCCTACATGTGTGTGCACACACGTCTGTCATCTTAGCCCTCAGGCAATGGATGAAGCAGAGTCACCAGTTCCAGGCCAGCCCGGGCTACACAGGACTCTATCTCAAAACCCAAACCAAACGCACACCCTGGCCATGGCTGTGGTGGTGTGGGGGAGATGGGATGAGGAGCTGGATTCCAGGAGGGAGCGCGAGGCCAGGTACAGCGCTCACTTCCCCAGCCTTGCAGAACGGCTGTCGGATCCCGGCTCTTACTCCCCAGCTGCGGGTCTCGACTCCCTGGGCAGCCACGCACCGGGGATCGGGACTTGGGGGGAAGGGGACACTGGTCATCTCGTGTCCTGTGAGAGTGTGGCATGGCATGGCATGGCATGTCCACTCTGGGTGACTGGTGCATCGTTGCTCTGGGTCAGGAATCTCCAGTCCTTCAACTGCCAGGTCCTCGGACACACCCCTCTGTTCCAAGCGGAGACCATCCTGACGGCTCCCGAGATCATTCTGCACCCCAATGCCAGCGAGATTGACAAGATGAGCGTCCACTGCACGCGCAGCTGTGTGGAGGTGACCAAGGTGAGGGCGCGCAGGCCGCTTCAGGCCACACTCAGGATGCGGAGGACATGGGCTCAGCTCCTCTGAAAACCCTGATGTGGGGTGTCCAGTCCCCAAGCCTCACCCCGGCTCCCCGCTCGCTCCACTCCTCCTTCACATCCCTGCTGAGGCCAGCCGTGGTGGGGAGGTAACCCGCGCATGTCTGTCTCCAGCCCTCAGCACTCCTTCAACCCCACGTGGGTCTCATGCTCTTACGCTGCCTCCCTTGGGTCATGGCTTCAGTGTCTCCAAACAGTAACCTGACTCCTCACCAGGCCACTGCCCTGTGCCAGGGAGCGACAGTAATGCCAGCCTGCGACAGAGCCACAGACCCCAGCCCCGCCCTTGGCCCTCTGCCTCGTTCCCCCTGCACCTCCCCAATACCTCAGCCCAGCCACAGTACCCCCCCACCTCACCATGCTCACCCCAACTCACCAGGAAGCTTTTAGAGGCTTCTAGAATCCATTTCCTACCAGAGGCATTCAGATTCTCTTTTGTATGAAAACCTCTCAGTGCCTATTTATTTTATGACTATTTTTGCTGTCTGGAGGTTTGATATCAAGGCCTGTGGTGGCTAGACAGGGGTCCTGCCATTTGGACCACTCCCCTAGACCCTTTTTGCACTGGTTGTTTTTGAGGTAGGATCTCTCTCCATGCCCTCAGCCCTGTGCTCCCCCTGGAGCTGGTGCAGCTGGCTCATGTCACAGTGCACAGCCACCAGAGGAGATCAAGTCTCACACACTTCATTTTTTGCCCAGACTGGTCTGGAACCTTAATTCCATAATCTCTGCTTCCCAAGTAGCTGGGATTACAGGCTTGAGCCACCACACCTGGCTGTTCTGTTTAGGACAGGTCCTTACCAGGTAATCCAAGCTGTGGATTACCAAACTCAAGATCCTCTGCCTCAGCCTCTAGGGTGCCATGATCACACAAACACGCCTTTCCAGTGAGTGTGGCGGTGAGGTCCTCCGTGGCCCCGCCCTGCCCGCCTTCCTCATCTCAGCTCCTGCCTGTGTTAGACTCCGGGGCTCCCAGCAAAATCCTGTCTCCAGACAGGCGAACCTAAACTCCCCACTAGCCAGACCCCACCACACTTCCCCACCAGCCAGACACCACTCTGCCCTAAGACACTGTTGGCCCTGTTCTCGTCTTGCCAGCATTTTGTGCGGTGGATGAACGGCAGCTGCATCGAGTGTCCCCCACAAAAGGGGGAAGAGGAGGAAGTGGTGATCGTGAGCTTCTACCAGGAGATTTCCCAGAACCCTCAGATCATCGACCAGGCCGTCATGATCCCCCAGAACATCCACAGGCTGCTGATCAACCTCATGAAGTACCTGCAGCGGTGGAAGCGGTACCGGCCCCTGTGGAAGCTGGACAAGGCCATCGTCATGGAGAAGTTTGCCGCTAAGAAGCCTTCGTGCTCAGCCTACGACCAGAAGCTGCAGTTCTACTCTCGGGTGGCGCAGGATGTGATAAGCCACCCGCTCCTGAGGGACGAGCACTGCATCCGCCTGCAGCTGGGGCCCCTGGCACACACCGTGCAGGACAACGCCAAGTCCTGGGTCACGTCGCTGGGCAAGCTCCTCAACGATTCGGCCAGGGAGGAGCTCTACAGCCTCCAGGAGGAGATAGAGGTGCCTGGCCCACTTCTCCAGGGGCTGGGGCAGCGGCAGGGAGCCGGCCCGGTGCACAAGGCTCCAGGTCCCAGCACCTAGAGGCCTGGCACAGCCCGTGTGCCACCTCAGCCCTCAGCCCTCCTGAGTTATGACCTTTGAATCTGTCTTCCCTAGCTACTGGCCAAAAACCTTAAAAAGAGCCCCAGTACTCTGGAAGACCTCAAGTTCGTTCTTGCAACAATTGCAGAAATTAGAAATAAATCTTTAATCATGGAACTCAGGTACAAGGATGTCCAGGAGCGCTACCGGACCATGGCGATATATAAGATCTATGTAAGTCCCCTCCCCTGTTAACGACACAATTCTTCCAGAAAGGTTTCCCAGGAACATGGTCTCTGAGACTCCATTTCTAGTTACCTCTAGACTGGGGGCATGACCCAAGTAGTAAAGCACCAGCCATGAGTGGAAAAGCTGAACAAGACTGAAGGGCCCTAAGTTCAAGGCCTGGTACTGGAACAAACAAACAACAAAATATTTAGCAGGCCAATGCCTTTTGTCTAGTTTTTGGTAATTACACAGCTTCCTTCATTCTCTTCTGAGACTCCAGTTGTGTGTTGCTAGACATTTCCACGGTGGTCCTTTCCTGAAGCTCTTCATTTCAGGCATGGTAACAGTCCTGGAATTTCCACTTTAAGAAACAATTTCCTTTTGTCTGTGTAGCTTCTCAATTTTACCTTTTGTTGACTTTAGTGAACTTTTTTTTTTTTTGGCTAAATCTCCATCTTTCCATTCCTATGTGGTCTGTGAGTCTCCTGGATTCCCTCCCTCCCTCCCTTCTTTCTTTCTTCCTTCCTTTTTTATTCTTTCTTTCTTCCTTCTTTTTTAATTCTTCACCAGACTTTTCTGCCTGTACTGGTTTCAAACCTGGATCCTCAGATCTTACTTAGCCTACTGAGTAACCAGAATTACAGATGTAAGCCACTGATACCTGGCTGTTTTTTTGTTTGTTTTTGTTTTTGAGACAGAGTCTTGCTATATATAGCTAATGCTAGCCTTAAATTCTCTATCCTCCTGCCTTAGCCTTCCAAGTATGGGATTATAGGCAAGTGCTACCAAACTTGCTCTGACTTCATTTGAACTGTAAGAACATAATGCTAACATTTCAAGTACAAGCAAAAATCCCCAGGAGGCCATATTGAAATCCGATCCCAAAGTGCTGCTGAGTTGTCTTTGGTTCTCCCCTTCTTCATTTGTCCTGTCAATTAGCCTACCAACTCAGAGAAGGAGCTGGTGGATAAGATCGAGAGCATGTGGCTGAATCTTTTTAATGACTCCCTGAATGTGGAGCATGCGCTCGGAGGCATAAAGCGGACTTTCACCGAGGTACTTTCGCGGTCTTCCACTCAGGGCGAGTGCTACTGGGACAAATGTGAGCACCTCTCAGTGAGTCCTTTGCTCTGTGCAGATCACTCGCGGTGAAATCATGAACTACAGATCTCAGCTTGAGGCGTTTGCTCAACGCTTTTACAAGGAAGGCCCTGGGTCTGTGGGCGAAGACCTTGATAAAGGTAAATCATCCATTGTGAGGTTTCTGAGCTTGTAGTGTGCGTTTTGCTTATGAAGTTTGTGGGAGGCAATAGAACTTATAAACCCATAAATCTCCCCCAAATACTTTCCTCACAGATGGCTTTAGTAGATACCGGTAGGGAAAACTGGACTAGTTCTAGACATTGAATATTGAGGGACGTTGCAAAGAGCTGGGGGTGGGGCTGCCAAGATCCCCGCTATAGCTCAGGAGACCTAGCTGCCAGCGCTCACCTGTAGCCATGCCATTCTGTGTCCCTTGAACTTATTCTTTGCACTTAGATCCTGGACTGTGTGGTGGCTCATGCCTATAATCCATCATCCAGCAGTGTAACTAGGAGGATTGTAGTCTAGGCCAGCCTGGACAAAAGCATGATAACCTATTGAAAAAATAACTGAAGTAATCTGGATTGTGTGTGTGGCAGGAGGCCTTGAGTTCAAGGCCTAGAATTGAGAGACACAGGGTTGGGGTAGGGGTAGGGGGGAGAAAAGGGAGGAAGAGATTCTTTGGCCCAGTTTCAGAGGACCCAAAAAAATTTTAAAAAATAAATAACATGGGTTATGCAGGTGAAATGACAATTTTTTTTTTGGGGGGGGGGGTCTGGTCGTTGGGCCTGAACTCTGGGCCCGGGTGCTGTCCCTAAGCTCTTCAGCTCAAGGCTAGCACTCTACCACTTGAGCCACAGAGCCACTTCCGGCTTTTTTTTTCTGCTTATGTGGTGCTAAGGAATCAAACCCAGGGCCTCATGCATGCAAGGCAAGCGCTCTACCACCGAGCCACCTTCCCAGCCCCTGAAATGACAATTTATGCACATCATCCCTGAGTTCTCAATTAATTTATACACTGCAAAATTGACTTTATTCCATATTTACTCGTGGTTATTTCTTAGGAGCCGAGCTTTTAGGCACTTTTGAAAAAGAGCTGGTGAAATTTGAGAAGAACCGCCAGGAGCTGGCCAATGCTGAGAAGCTCTTTGACCTCCCCATTACGATGTACCCAGAGCTCCTGAAAGTGCAGAAGGAGATGAGCGGCCTGCGGCTGATCTACGACATCTACAGGGACTTAAAGGTGGGAGCTCCGGGCTAGAGGGCCAGGAAGGCACCCCATGTCTTTGGTAATAGCTCCAGGTGCAGCTTGAATGTCACTGATGTCCTGACTGCGCCCCGCCCCCCCCAGCCCTGTCCCCAATCTCGGGATCCACTGACCTGCTCCTGCCCCAGATAATTTGGGCAGGAAGTCCCCCAGAGATCACACTTTGCTGCCTGGGTCTCATGGCACTTTGGGGCCTGTTCCCATGCACTGAAGCTGGGTTTTTCTGGGCTAAGTCTGTATAGCTTCATTAGCTAGGGAATCCTTAAAGAAATTTCTAGTCTAGACAGCTTTACCTGTGACTTTTCTTATCAAGGAAGTGAGAAGCAGACAGGGTGGGGGACAGGATGATGATTTTTGGGTAGGCATTTCTACCAGATAGAAATTCCTATTCTGCCAGGTGCCGGTGGCTCACGCCTGTAATTCTAGCTACTCAGGAGGCTGAGAACTGAGGATCGCAGTTCAAAGCCAGCCTGGGCAGGAAAGTCCATGAAACTCTTATCTCCAATAAACCACCAGAAAACTGATAGTGGCACTGTGGCTCAAGTGGTAGAGCACTAGCCTTGAGCTGAAGAGCTGAGGGACAGCGCTCAGGCCCAGAGTTCAAGCCCCATGACCAACCAAAAAGAAAGAAAAGAAAGAAAGAAAGAAAGAAAGAAGAAAGAAGGAAAGAAAGGAGAAAGAAGGAAAGAAAGAAAAAGAAATTCCTCTTCCTTCTAGGACAGAGCCCTGGTTGCTGAGGGTAGCAGAGTGGAGGGGAGGGGAGGAACCCTTTCTGGCAGAGTCAAGAAGTGACCTCACCTTGGGGACAGACAGTTTCATCAGAGCTGCTTGCAGGAGGAAGGGTGAACCACCTGTTCGCCCACACAGCAGAGGGGTGGGCAGAGGTGGTGAGAGCTGGTGTCCTAGGATGGCCGTAGGAATTGGGGTCACTGGTAGCGCGGTGTGGGGCTGAGTTTTAGGGAGCCTTCTGTGGACCATGGTCTCTGGCCATCTTAGCCCCTGGGGAAGCAGAGGTGCTGGGGCGGGGACAGAGGGGCACAGCAGGCAGACCCCAAGGCGGGACCTTAATCCCCAGGACTGCCTCCTCTGGGCCATGCCAGATTTTTGTGGAAGGGAGGCAGTGACTCCCAGAGTTCACTTAAAAATCCCAAACTGTTTGAGACAGGATCAACTTATGTTGCCCAGGTAGTTAGAGGCTAATAGTGTAAAGAAGTTACGTAATGTGATGTAAGGAAGAACTTTTTAATATGCAATCTGAGGAAATTAGAACATAGAATGTCTCTCTCATCTCTCTTTTCTGTAGTGGGGTTTGAACTCAGGACTTTGTGTTTGCTAGGTACCTGCCTTACTGCTGAATTATGCCCTCATCCCAGAAAGTCTTTTCTTCATTCTAACCATGTAGTATCACGTGTAGCTGTTTGTGCTGGTCCTGGGACTTGAATTCAGAGACTGGGCTATGTCCCTTAGCTTTTTCACTGGTGCTCTGCCATTTGAGCCACAGCTCTACCTGGCTTTTTGGTGGTTAATTGGAGATAAGAGTCTGATGGACTTTCCTGCTTGGGCTGGCTTTGAACTTCTTCGCTCCTCAGATCCACTGCTCCTGAGCAGCTAGGATCACAAGTGTGAGCGACCACACCGAGCTCGGACCCACATTTTGCACCTTTGCAGGCTGCAAAGGAAGAATGGTCCCAGACGCTGTGGGCCAACCTGAACGTGCAGTTCCTCCAGGATGGGATCGACGGCTTCTTGAAGACCCTCCGCAAGCTGCCGCGGCCCGTGCGCAGCCTGTCTGTGGCCTTCCACCTGGAAGCCAGGATGAAGGCGTTCAAAGAGTCCATCCCCTTACTCCTTGACCTGAAGCACGAGGCACTGAGAGACAGGTTTGGTTTGCTCAGGTTTCTTGGCTGACCATGGGCATGTGCAAGAGTGGTGGGAGCTGAGGAGCTGAGACTGAGGGAATGCTAACACCAGATATGCAGGAGGCATAAGTAGGTAGAGCATGGCCCAGGCTGGAACTGGGGAAAGGCCTGGGGCTGGAGACGCAGCTCGAGTGGCAGTGGGAGCCCCATAACTCCCAGACAAGGTGGCAGGCACAGCCTATATTTTCCAGTTCTACCATGAGTAGTTTGCCATAGAGATTGTGTCTATGGCCAGGTTGGTCCTGGGATGATGAGGGAGTCAGAGTCAGGTGGTGGGGTCTGCGGTGGGTCGGGTCGGGCGGTGGGGTCTGCGGTGAGTCGGGTCGGGCGGAGGGGTCTGCGGTGGGTCGGGTCGGGTGGTGGGTCGGGTCGGGCGGTGGGTTCTGTGGTGGGACGGGTTGGGCGGTGGGTCGGGTCGGGCAGTGGGTCGGGTTGGGCGGTGGGGTCTGCAGTGGGTTGGGTGATGGGGTGCCTGTGGCCCAGCATTCTCCACCCTGTGCGCCCCTCAGACACTGGAAGGAGCTCATGGAGAAGACGGGCGTCTTCTTTGAGATGACAGAGACGTTCACTCTGGAGAACATGTTTGCCATGGAGCTGCACAAGCACTCTGATGTCCTCAATGGGATTGTCACGGCTGCCGTGAAGGAGGTCGCCATCGAGAAGGTAGGCCCCACGCCACTCCATGGGGAGAGGCTGGGTTCTGGGTTCTCCCCTCCCCCTGGGCACTTCCCCCCTCTCCAGGCTGAGATGGAGCCCAGGACCCAACCACCGAGCTACACCCCTGGCCCTTGGTGTCTTGAGACAGTTTGCTCTGTAGCCTAGTCTGGTCAAGAGCTCACCATCCTTCTGCCTCTTTCTCTAAAGTGTCAGGATTACAGGTGTGTACTACTATGCCAGGCAAGGCCTGTCCTTTCATGGAAAGAGAAAGCCCATTCACTTGCTCTGGTATCTGTTGTGTTTGGGTAATGAAAAACATTTTTTTTTTTTGGTCGTTCATGGGGCTGTCCCTCAGCTCTTCAGCTTCAAGTCGAGCGCTCTACCACTTGAGCCACAGCGCCACTTCCATTTTTCTAGTGGTTTATTGGAGATAAGAGTCTCACGGACTTTCCTGCCCGGGCTGGCTTTGAACAGTGATCCTCAGATCTCAGCCTCCTGAGTGGCTAGGATTACTAGCTACTAGGTGTGAGCCACCGGTGCCTGGCTATGAAAAACAATTTGTTTTAGAAATTGAACTTCTGTTTCAGTTAACTTTTGTATCGTTCCTAGTTATAGTTTCACTTTCTGCTTATTATAGAAGTAATGGGTAAAAGAAAATTAAAAAGGAGGAACCACTGATGATCTTGCCCCTTAGTTGCTAACATCTTACTGACTATCTTTCCTTACTTAAAAATTCAAGGAGAGTGATCGGAGTTGCGTATGTGGAAAATATAAAATGAAACTTTCTCACATCACAAATATATGCTCACTCAAAAATAAAATAAGGTGCTGGGAAGGCGGCTCAGTGGGAGAGCGCTTGCCTCACATGCATGAGGCCCTGGGTTCGATTCCTCAGCACCACATAAGCAGAAAAAGCCGGAAGTGGCGCTGTGGCTCAAGTGGTAGAGCACTCGCCTTGAGCTGAAGAGCTGAGGGACAGTGCCCAGATCCAGAGTTCAGGTCCCCTGACCGACAAAAAAATAAAATAAGTCGAGCTTTGTGGCTCATGCCTGTAATCCTAGCTACTGAACAGGCTGAGATCTGAGGATTGTAGTTCAAATTCCAGGCAGGAAAGCCTGTGAGACTCTTATCTCCAATTAATCACTAAAAATAGCTAGGAGTAGAGCTGTGGCTAAAGTAGTAGAGCCCCAGCCTTGAGCACAACAGCTTAGGGACAGTGCCTAGGACCTGAGTTCAAGCCCCAGGAATGGCACACACACACACAAAATTTTAATGCATGAATATACATGCATACATCTGTGCACACCTGCAATCATGATTTCACACATGTAATACTCTCATGAGTGCATTATAAACACACGGGCTTACACAGAATGTGCACAGACACACGTGTGCACATACACGTATGCACATCGATGATGGTTGTTTGATAGTGGCATGAACGCAGGATAGATGCCAGCACCTGGCCTGTACCCCACTTGGCCTGGCTGGCTAACAGATGACTTTTATCCCCTCAGAGCTGGGACTCTGGGGGGAGCTGGGTGCTGGCTTGGACTCTTTCTCCAGTGTTGGGCACAAATGCAGGTTTTCTCGTTCCTGAGCAGGCGGTGAAGGAGATCCTAGACACGTGGGAGAACATGAAGTTCACCGTGGTCAAATATTACAAGGGGGTGCAGGAGCGTGGCTACATCTTGGGTTCAGTGGATGAAATCATCCAGAGCCTTGACGACAACACTGTCAACCTGCAGAGCATCTCAGGGAGCAGATTTGTGGGGCCCTTCCTGCAGACTGTTCACAAGTGGGAGAAGACACTGTCGCTCATAGGGGAGGTCATCGAGGTGAGAGGGCGGTGCTGCGGACGCGTGCTCAGAGCGGCGTCCTTCCTTTCTGTCCATTTGGCTTGATTTCTTTTGGGGGAGTAGTGCATGGTTGAGGAGTTGATTTGAGTGTTTTAGTTGATGTGTTTGATGTGTTTTCATTTCTAAGATACCTGGTTTTGTGTGTGTGTGTGTGTGTGTGAACATGTCCTGTTCTTCTCTACTGCCGTCCTGCTCTTGTGTGGGCGTGGGTTAATGTCGCTGTCTCCTGGGCAGCTGTAGACACAGTGATTTCAAAGCTCTCTTTGGGGATCATTCCTTCTTTTCAGAGTCTGCCCGCTGGCCCTTGCAGGTGGGTTTCTCTCTGTGTGGTTGATTTTCTTCTAGTGCCTCTCACGTGGAGATATCCCCCCTCCTCCCGTGCGTGCTTCACGGTGCCGTCTACTGCTGCCATCTCTCTGCCTGGCCTGGCCTATGCAAGGCCGCCAATCTCCATCAGGGGCTCTGGTGGCTCCTCCTGGGTGGCTTTGTGAGTCCAGGTCTCAAGGACAGCCCAGGCGCATTTTGCTTAGTTTTGGGCCTGTCTCCACAGTACAGGTTTTCCAGCCATCCCCAGCTAGCAGGGAGTCAAAGTCTTCTGGGCCTGGTTGTGGATGCTGACTTGCTTCCCTGTGCTTTCTCAAGAATTCCTATAGCGCAGTCCCCGTTCTCCTGCAGGGAATATGACGTCAGACTGTCCCAACCACAGTGGGTGCTGACCCGGAGCCCTGTGGCATTCTTGTAGGATCCACTTCCCTTTACAATGTACCCTACTGAAAGTCACATGTCTGTGCTCTTCCCCCATAGTGCTGGGTTTGGGGTCACAGCTAGGTGCCAGTAAAGGAGGCCCAGAGAAACAGCCTGTCGTGGGAAGGTGGCCAGGCCTCACCCCCTTCACTGTCTACCTAAGTAGACTCCAACCTGCTATGGGGTGGGGGTGGGGCCCACACCTGCCCCCTTCACCCCTGTGACACGACCTGGACCATTTCAGCTCTGGATGCTGGTTCAGAGGAAGTGGATGTACCTCGAGAGCATCTTCATTGGTGGAGACATAAGATCACAACTTCCTGAAGAAGCAAAAAAGTTTGACAACATCGACAGAGTGTTTAAAAGGGCAAGTGGCCATCGTGGCGATGTGGGAGAGTGGGCAGGGGCAGAGCGTGCATGGCGGGCTGTCTGCACTTCCAGTCATTACCTGTCACTTTAATGTGTCTTGTACAACTTTGGTCATTAGCTGGGGCAGATGACAGGTGCTTTTTTTTTTTTTTCGTTATAAAAGTATTTGAGGGCTGGAAGTGGCGCTCTGGCTTAAGTGGTAGAGCACTAGCCTTGAGCTGAAGAGCTGAGGGACAGAGCCTAGGCCCAGAGTTCAGGTACCACAACCGGACCCCCGCCCTAAAAAAAAGTAGTATTTGAGTTGGGAGTGGTGGCTCACGTCTGTAATCCTAGCTACTCAGGAGGCTGAGATCTGGATTGTGGTTTGAAGCCATCCTGGGCAGGAAAGTCTGTGAGACTCTTATCTCCAATGAACCACCAGAAAACCAGAAGTGGTGCTATAGCTCAAGTGGTAGAGCGCTTGCCTTAAGCCAAAAAGTTTAGGGACAGTGCCCAGTTCCTCAGTTCAAGCCTCAGGACTGGCACACACAGAAAAGAAAAGAAATGAAAAGAAAAGAGCAGCAGGACGATTCTCTGTAGATACAGGCACCCATAATGGGGCTTCTGCCTCCATTCCTTCCACAGCATTGCTGGAGTACCCACTGCATACAGCACTGTTAGAGTGTGTGTGTTGGGGGGGGGGGGCGGGACATGTGAACAACATAGTCTGAAGTCCTCTCCTGGACAGACGGAAAATGGAATCAGAGATCAGGGGACCATGCGTGGAGCCCGCAGCTGAGCACGCGTGGCGTAAGGACGATGGTCTGGCACATGCTGGCTCTTGGCGCTCTCCTGGGTGTGGTGCTGCGTGGCTGTTGCTCTGTTTCTCACCCTGGTCAGTGCTGTCTGTCAGGATGGGGCCTCTGCCAGCCTTGGCTGACTACTCTCTCCTGCCCTGTGCAGATCATGAGCGAGACCCTGAAGGACCCCGTGATCAAGCGGTGCTGCGAGGCCCCGAACCGTCTCAGCGACCTGGAGAACATCAGTGATGGCCTGGAGAAGTGCCAGAAGAGCCTCAACGACTACCTGGACTCCAAGCGGAATGCCTTCCCCAGGTTCTTCTTCATCTCTGATGACGAGCTGCTGAGCATCCTGGGCAACAGCGACCCGCTGTGTGTGCAGGAGCACATGATCAAGGTCAGGGCCGGGGTTGGGCCACAGGTCATGGTCAGAGTACAATGTCAAGGGCAGGGAACAGATCATGGTTACAGTACTTGATGAAGGCCATGGCCCAGGCCAAGGTCTGAGCACAAGGCCAAGGGCAGGGCTAGGGCTCCCTCAGGGAACTCTCTGGGTTGGCTTCCTCACTGTGATTTGCACCTAGTCTCTGCAGGGAGTTTCTATCCGGAAGTGTGTGATGGTGGGTGATGGAATGGTAGCCATGTTTCAGGGGAACTCTAGGATCATGTAATGTCACCTCGTGTGACATTACACCAGGACTCACCTGTTTGTGGTCCCTTTACAGAGGCCAAAAACTTGTGTTCCTTTTTTGAGAAACTAAAAACAAATACATAAATGCACAGAGATGAATACTATAAACAAGTAGGCCACTGAGAGTAAAGCCACAGTTTTAGCACATGGCTTCTTGAGCCAGACTGCCTGGGTTCAAGTCCACAGACATTTGCTGTGTGATGTTGGGCAAATTATGGCACCTCTCTGGGCATCCTTCTCACATGTGTCAGTGGACGTCACCCTGACTATTACCCACTAACTGTGAGGCGGGGCGGGGAGCACCTTGCCTTGATTGCCCGTTCACCCAGGTGTCTAGTCCTCCAGCCGGGGTGTTTAAACCTCAGTCTGCCTCCCCCGGGTTGAGCCATGCATCTGGCCCCCTGAGAGTCTGCCTTTCTGGCTCCACCGCAGCTCTGTCCAGCACAGGGCACGCGGGGTCAGCCGCCCATGGCGTTGCGCTGGCTTGCAGATGTACGACAACATTGCCCTGCTGAAATTCAACGACGGGGAGAGTGGGGAGAAGCTGGTGCTGGGCATGATCTCCGCCGAAGGGGAAGTCATGGACTTCCGGAAGATCATCCGGGCCGAGGGCCGCGTGGAGGACTGGATGACGGCCGTGCTCGTGGAGATGAGGAGGACCAACCGCCTCATCACCAAGGAGGCCATCTTCCGCTACTGTGAGGACCGCAGCCGGTGAGAGCGCCCCCCCAGCCATGGGGGGTCCCCCCTCCCCCTCCCAGCCTTCCTCCTCCTAGCCTTCCTCCTCCTAGCCTTGTACTTGTTAGGGAAGTACTCTGCCATTTGAACTACACGCTCCATGCCTTGTCTGTCTGCTTGCTTCTGAGGGAGTCTTGCTAACTTTGCCAGAGCCGACCTTGAACTCACAATCTCCTGCATATTGGGATCACACGCATGCTTCACCACGCCCTGCCCTCAAACCCAAATGCTTCACCATGCCCTGCCCTCAACCCCAAATGAGCCGTCACCTTCTTCTTTGTCACTGTCACCTCCTCTGCCTCCTCCTCCTTGCTCTTCCTCATCCTCCTCCTCCTCGACTTGAACTCAGGGCCTCTTGCTCTTGCTCAGCTCTTTCACTTGTGGCTGGCACTCTGCTACTTGAGACACAGATCTAGTTCCAGCTTTTTTGCTGGTTCATTGGAAATAGAATCTCCAGATATCTGGTGACCTCAAGGCAGGCCTGTGAGAATGAGAAAAGCAATGTGCAGGGACTTGAATGTGAGGACACCATTTCTGGGGAGACAGGCCCTCCCTGCACTCCCAGACTTGGGTCAATTAGGAAGGGGAAGGAGAAGGTGGCTTGGGTGTGGATGAGCCGCTTTCCTGCTGGATTCTCTCCTTTCAGCCACAAATGCAAGGATGATCTGGAAGTGGCTGGTCGTCTTTCTGCCCCGTCAGGAATAGGAACAGCACGGGTTTTTGTTTTGTTTTGTTTTTTGTATTTTGCTTTGTAGCTAGTGTCTCACTGCCATTTCTTTCTTTTTTCTTTTCTTTTTTTGTGGGTCATGGGGCTTGAACGCTGGGCTTAGGCGCTGTCCCTGCACTCGTCAGCTCAAGGCGAGCGCTCTACTGCTTAAGCTACAGCGCCACTTCCAATTTTCTAGTGGTTAATTGGAGATAAGAGTCTCATGGACTTTTCTGCCCGGGCTGGCTTTGAACCTTGGTCCTCAGATGTCATCCTACCCAATAGCTAGAATTACAGGCGTGAGCCACTGGCGCCCGGCTCACTGCCATTTCTTATGTAAAGTTGCATCTCCTATTCCAGAATGAAGAAGTATGCAAAAAAGATGGTGGTCTGGGGTTTTGAACTCAAGGCTTTGAGTCTGCTAGAGTACTCTGCCACTTGAGGCACACTCCTAGCCCTTTTGTCCTTGGGCTATTTTTCCCCGATAGCATCTCTAGATGCTGCACCAGGCTAGCGTGGGCCATGAGGCTCTGTGTAGCTTGGATTCCAGGAATGTACCATCAAGCCTGGCTTCCTAGTTAAGATGGTGGGATGGGGGGTGAGGAGAGGGGTGGCGGGATGTCTTAGTGACTTTTGCCCTAGCTGACCTCAAACCTCAATCCAGCTGGCATTTTACCTCCTGAGCTGCCGGGATTACAGGCATGAGCTCCCATTCTGTGCCTCAGAGAAGTAGATTCTGTTTTCCATCCCTGTCCCAGAGTCGACTGGATGCTGCTGTACCAGGGCATGGTGGTGCTGGCCGCCAGCCAGGTGTGGTGGACGTGGGAGGTGGAGGACGTGTTCCACAAGGTGCAGAAAGGAGACAAGCAGGCCATGAAGACCTATGGCAAGAAGATGCACCAGCAGATCGACGAGCTGGTCACCAGGATCACGCTGCCCCTGAGCAGGAATGACCGGAAGAAGTACAACACTGTGCTGATCATCGATGTGCATGCCAGGGACATCGTGGACTCCTTCATAAGGGGCAGGTGAGTCCCGGTGTGTGTGGGGGGCGGGCGAAGATGCCTCGTGGTTCCTTCACAGCTCAGCCTCACTTCCTCCTCCTCTTCTTCCCTGTCCTCCTCGCTGCATCCGCCCAGCATCCTCGAGGCGCAGGAGTTCGAGTGGGAGAGCCAGCTGCGCTTCTACTGGGACCGGGAGCCAGACGAGCTGAACATCCGCCAGTGCACCGGCACCTTCGGCTACGGCTATGAGTACATGGGCCTCAACGGACGCCTGGTCATCACGCCGCTCACCGACCGCATCTACCTGACGCTCACGCAGGTGGCCGGGTGGACCGTCACCATCGGGCGGCTGGGATGGGCTGCATGACTGGCGGGGGGGTGGGGGGGACAGGCTGGAGGCAGTGACCCCCAAGGCCAGCATGCCCTGACTGCACACCCTGTGGCTTTGACTCCAGGAGTTGCTCAGGGCTCAGCTCCAGGGTGACGTGTCCCCTGGGATGGCGGCAGCGGTGGGAACAGGCTGGGCGAGGCTGGCTTTGGCCTTCTGTCCCTTCAGTCCTTGGGGACTGGAGAACATCACCCTCGCTGGGAGTTCCTCCCACTCTACCCAGTTTCTACTGCAAATGCCCACCTCCCACCAAACCCCCTCACAGGAGCCATGAATAATGTTTTACCATGTTACTGGGATTTGAACTCAGGGCCTCATGCTCTCAGGCAAAGGCTCTTCCACTCGAACCATGCCCCAGTCCTTTTGCTCTTAGTTTTGTTTGGTTTTTGTTTTCAGATAGGTTCTCACACTTTTGCCTAGGCTGACCTCAGACCTCAAACCTCTCTCCACCTTTTGAGTAGCTGGGATTATAGGCATGTACTACCATGCCTGGCCCCCAGATGTACAACTGTTAATCAGTCAAGTTGACATGTGATGCTGAGTATGTGTATGTGTGTGAGCAAGCTTGTGCGTATGAACGAGTGTGAGTGTGTGCGTGTGTGCGTGTGTGCGTGTGAATTCTGCATGTGTTGTCACAGCCCAAAGGCAACATTTTGAAGGGACACTGCCTCCTCATGTGGTCAGGAGACATGTGTCTTGCCCCTGGTTCCTAGGCCCTGTCCATGTACCTGGGAGGGGCCCCTGCTGGCCCTGCAGGGACTGGAAAGACAGAGACCACCAAAGACCTGGCGAAAGCCCTGGGCTTGCTGTGTGTTGTCACCAACTGTGGTGAAGGCATGGATTACAAGGTAAGGCCACCTGGAGTGGGGCCAGCCTCATTCTGCAAGATGGCAGCGGAGGTGGGCCTCGGCGTCAAAGAGCTGGGGTGTACCTACCTGGGGAGTGGGCCGGGCAAGATGACCGACAGCAGAAGTGTGGCAGGCTGGAGATCAGGCTCTAGCCTGTAGAGGGCGTCACTGCTCAGTCGCAGTTCATGGCTTCTGAAGGCAGACCCACGTGCTAGACCTTCAGTATTTCAAGAGAAGCCAGAGGAAGTGGTACTGTGGCTTGCCAGAAATCAGGTTTACAAGTATACTTGTGTGCATGTACGTGTGTGTGTGCGCATGCTAGGGCTTGTACTTGCTCTTTTTTTTTTTTTTTTTTTTTTTGCTCATGACTGGCACTCAACCACTTGAGCCACAGCTCCACTTCTGGCTTTTTGCTAGTTAATTAGAGATTAGAGTTTCATGGACTTTCTTGCCTAGGCTGGCTTTGAACTTGGATCCTCAGATCTCAGCCTTCTGAGTAGCTGGGATTACAGGCATGAGCCACTGGTACCTGGCTTACAAATCCTGATTTGTAAGATTCAGTGTGGGTACTGCTTATGAGAGGCCTGGGAAAGCTTGCTAGAAAGATCTGTGAGTGAGTGCCAGCCAGCTGCCAACTGCCACCTGCTGGTGGTGTTAAGTTAGAAGATGCCTTCCTGTTGCCCTAGGCGGTGGGGAAGATCTTCTCTGGCCTGGCCCAGTGTGGGGCATGGGGCTGCTTCGACGAGTTCAACCGGATCGACGCCTCGGTGCTGTCCGTCATCTCCTCCCAGATCCAGACCATCCGGAACGCGCTCATCCACCAGCTTACCACCTTCCAGGTGATGCGGGGCGGGATGCCGGGCGGCCGGGCAGGACGTGGGGTGGGACGTGGGATCCACTTCGTGCCATGTGGCCGACCCCGCCCCTCCCTGCTGTCACATGCCATGTGACTCCCCCTGCCTGTGACCCCTTCCTGTGGCCCCAGTTTGAAGGGCAGGAGATCTCCCTGGACTCGCGCATGGGCATCTTCATCACCATGAACCCCGGCTACGCGGGCCGCACAGAGCTGCCCGAGTCGGTGAAGGCGCTCTTCCGGCCCGTGGTGGTCATCGTGCCTGACCTGCAGCAGATCTGTGAGATCATGCTCTTCTCCGAGGGCTTCCTGTGGGCCAAGGTGGGGCCCGGCCCAGGGCCACGGGTGGGGGTAGGGTCCCAGGAGGGGTCCCAGACCTCGTGTGCCCAGGCCTGTGTGTGGGCGCCATGTCAACCCTGCCTCCTGTCTGCCCTCTCCTCCTTACTGTCTGAAGGACAGCATTTGCTCTGAATCCCTTGATCCCCTGGGGTGGGAGCTGGGTGGCCACGAGGCAGCACGCAGACCAGGCGTGGCGTGGCGTGGTGTGGCCAACTCGGGGCTGCTCTACGGGTGTTACTGCGGTAATGCCTCTGTTCCACGCGTGGATGGCGCTGCAGTCAGGACATAGCCCGTCCCATTCACGCTGCCCCAGCCCTAGCACTCGGGCCTTAGAGCCAGAATTTGTGAACCCAGGGAATTTTCCTCCTCCCCTCCCCGCCCCAACGCGTGGTTCTTCTGCGCTGTGTGAAGACGCTGGCCAAGAAGATGACGGTGCTGTACAAGCTGGCCCGGGAGCAGCTGTCCAAACAGCACCATTACGACTTCGGGCTCCGCGCCCTCAAGTCCGTGCTGGTGATGGCCGGCGAGCTGAAGAGGGGCTCCGCCGACCTGCAAGAGGTAGGGCTGCCCAGCACACCAGGGCCGGCAGGGGGCGAGGGATGGCAGTGCTCCGTGCTTAGTACACAGTGCTAGTGCTTAGTGATGCTCATCCTGGAACTTGAAGTCCAGGCTGTTCTCACTTGCTGGGCCTTGCCCTCCCTCCTAACCCCCCTCCTGCCCATCCATGGTTGCTAGGGAGATGCACAACCTCCAGTCCTCATCCTTGTGTCCTATACAGATGTAGCAAGCTGGGTGCTGTCCTAGCTACTCAGGAGGCTAAGGTCTGAGGATCAAGGTTCAAAGCCAGCCCGGGCAGGAAAATCCATGAGACACTTATCTCTAACTAACCACCAGAAAACCAGAAATGGCACTGTGGCTCAAGTGGTAGAGCGCTAGCCTTGAGCTGAAGAGCTGAGGGACAGCGCCCAGGCCCAGAGTTCAGGCCCCACAACCTACAAAAAGAAAAAAAAAAAGATGTAGCCTAGTGTAAAGTTCTTGGTGCTGTGCTCCGGAGGCTCCAGGTGAGCCCTGGGCACCATGAAACCCTCCTGGCCTCTGCGTGCTCCTCCAGGACGTGGTGCTCATGCGAGCCCTGCGGGACATGAACCTGCCCAAGTTTGTATTTGAGGACGTGCCTCTGTTCCTCGGCTTGATCTCCGACCTGTTTCCGGGCCTGGACTGTCCTCGTGTGCGCTACCCTGATTTCAACGACGCTGTGGAGCAGGTGCTGGAGGACAGCGGCTACATACTCCTGCCAGTCCAGGTCGTGTGTGGAGTGACGCCGGGCTTCCTGCGGCTTCCAGCTGCTCGCTCATAGTTGTTGTAGCTTGGAATATAAGTTGTAACACCATAGTCATCTGCTCTCATTTAAAATTGTGCTAAGATACACATAATACAAAAGTTTAGTCAGGTATGGTAGTGCATGCCTGTAATCCCCGCACTCGGAAGGCAGAGGGAGGAAGATCTGAGTCCTTGAAAAACAATTTTACTACGTTAACCATTAAAAAAAAATGAGATAGTCTTGGTATTCTGTAAGATTGCAACTACATGCGTGCTGAAAGATGAGTTGAAGGCGGCTGGTTTCTGTCCCACAGGTGGATAAAGTGGTCCAGATGTTCGAGACCATGCTTACCCGCCACACTACGATGGTGGTGGGGCCCACGGGAGGTGGCAAGTCCGTGGTCATTAACGCCCTGTGTCAGGCCCAGACTAAGTGAGTGTGTGATGAGGCACTGCCGTGGGGGGCGGGGGGCATACAGTCTTCTTGTTTATTTGTTAACATGAACCCTGAGTTTAGTTTCCTTGGATGAATCACAGTCTTTAGGAAGGAAATACCTAAACCAGTGTGTTTATAAAGTCTGCACCCAGAGCAGATGCCCCCCGTGTAAGCGCTCTTCCACCGGGAGGCAGCGTTACATACGCGCAGACCTACTGTGCATGGAAGTCAGCCTCCTGACATTGCGAGGCAAAGCTGTGCTTCCACTGTGTCCCGGCTCCCTGGCTCCTTTACCCTAATGAAAACCCCCAGCAACGCGTGGGAGCCTGCGGAGCATGGGTCATGTCGCGAGCTGCGGACTGGACTCTGGCTCCAGCCAGAGCCTCGGCTGACAGCGCCCTTGTGGTTTAGGCTTGGGCTGATGACGAAGCTGTACATCCTGAACCCCAAGGCTGTAAGCGTCATCGAGCTCTATGGCATCCTGGACCCCACCACCCGAGACTGGACAGACGGGGTGTTGTCAAACATCTTCCGAGAGATCAACAAGCCGACAGATAAGAAGGAGCGCAAGTGAGAGCCTTTGTCAATGGCAGAGGGGGTGGGATGGGGTGTGGAGGGGGAGGGGAAGGGCACAGGTGTCGGTGGTGGTGAGCCTGGGGACCTGTGTGATGTGGGCTGGACCCGGGCACCCCCTTGTACAAAGCATGGGACCATCTTGGAGCTTTTGCCCTGTGATCCTGATGGGCCTCACGCCATGTGGTAGGTGTTGGGGCTCACCTGGCTTTACCCAGCCAAGAGAAGGTAAGAAGGCTGTGCCAACCCTGGGGACTCAGACCTGGGATGTATGAGCCCTTGAATCAGCCGCTGTGCCAGGCTGCCAGATCCCCACAGTGAGGCAAAGCATCATGGGAGAATGCCAGAGGCCCCAAGCCCCAGCCTCTGCTCGGCTCTTTGATAGAAGTTGAGCTTTGTCAGGAGTGATTTCATGATTAATCACGAGTACAGCTGACCAGCGCCCCAGCGAGGTGCCATTAGCAGCTCACCAGAGGCACTTTTGCCTCTTTTTTTTTTTTGGTGGTGGTTTATTGGAGATAAGAGTGTCATGGGCTTTTCCACCTGGGTTGGCTTTGAACCTTCTGAATAGCTAAGATTACAGGTGTGAATGACCAGCACCGGGCTCAGCCTCTACTTTAAGAATGGAGTGTGGGGAGGTGGGTCTCAGCAGATGGTCGGGCCTGTCACTTTGAAGTTCCCTGACTCCTTACCATTGTTAATGAACTTGGATGGTTTTTAGTGCGCTGTGGCTACACCAGATGCAGGACAGTATTGTGTCCGACCCTGGCTAGAAACTCGGGGATGGTATTGGACAGGGATGGGCAGGCTCCGGTATGTTCTGTAACTGGAAGTGCCCCAGCATCAGTGGTCCCCGGCCTGGTATCTGCAGGTACATCTTGTTTGATGGGGACGTGGACGCTCTGTGGGTAGAGAACATGAACTCTGTGATGGACGACAACAAGCTGCTGACCCTGGCCAACGGGGAGCGCATCCGGCTCCAGGCGCACTGCGCGCTGCTCTTTGAGGCGAGTGACACAAGTTACTTCCCATCAGTTCTTTAACTTAAAAATGAAATTATCAGTGTGGTAGGAAAGAGTAGTTCAGTAAACTAGTAAAGATGTTGATTAAAACAGTATCAGGAACAGGTGATTATGAAAAATGCAGAAGGCTTGATCACAAGTACAACTCTGTTACTTTGTATCCCCTTTTTACCCTCCTTTGACTTTTTTAAAACTGGAGTTGTTCCTTCTGCTAATTATCTTAACATGTAACATGCTTAATACACTATTTCTAAAGTAGGCTATGTATTATATATATAACATATATATTATATTTATTAGGCTTATATATTCTTTATTGGCTGAGTACTATGAAAGTGAGGATTTATTAATTAGCCATTAGCCATTGCTTATTGATAAATATGTACTCAAATCCTATATTGCTAAGCTGATTAAGAGTGGACTGTATTTACATTTTGTGAATATGGAGCCACAGCGCCACTTCTGGGTATTTTTTTTTTTTTTGCTTATGGGTGCTGAGGAATTGAACCCAGGGCCTCAAGCATGCAAGTCAAGCGCTTTACCACTGAGCCACCTTCCTGGCCCTCTGCACTTAAGTTTTATGCTACCTCATCTCAACTAGGTTAAAAATAATAACAAAAATTATGTAAAGGAAAACACACAAATGCATTGTTTCTAAGTGGGATAATTTGGATAATTTATTTTTTCTTTATACTTCCCTTTTTGTCAGATATACTACAATATAGTTATGTTCATATTGATTATATAACAGTGGAAAAGTTGAAGATGTGACTGTATCAGAGATGCATAATCTCATTATAAAGGTATTCAGTTAAAAGACTCATGAAAGTGGAATTTGTGCAGCAGTGAAAATCTCACGTGAGACACAGCCTTGAGCCATGGCCTCATGGTTGACAGATGAATGGTTGACATGAATGGCTTTCAATGTCTTTCTGCAGGTCGGAGACCTGCAGTATGCCTCCCCAGCAACCGTGTCTCGGTGCGGAATGGTTTATGTGGATCCTAAAAACTTGAAATATCAACCTTACTGGCAGAAATGGGTCCAACAAATACAAAACAAGGTACAACTTATTCATCAGCTAAATGGAAATGTTATTAGTAACGTTGGCGGCTAGACCAGAGGGATGTTTGTAGTGGAAGGCCGTGACCCTGACCTTGCTAATATCCTTGAGCCTGGATCAGGGGACAATATGGTAGCTGCACTTACTGGATATCAGATAGGTCCTACTGGTGGTTAGAGAATGGCTCTGATGGCTTTACCATGGCCAGTGGCAGTGCTGTGCAGGAGAGGATCTGTCTGTGGATGAGGGCCGGCCGGGGAGGCGAGGCTGAGGTGGCCGAGGTGGCCATGGTGGTGCTCCACAACTCCTAGACCAGACAGACTCTGTTACTGCCAGGAGCCGCCTGGCTCTGGTGCTTTGGCTCAGTTGTGTGCATAATCCTATGGCTTCAGCTGAGCACTGGACCATTCAGAATGTATCAAAAGCCAGAAGTGGAGCTGTGGCTCATGTGATAGAGCACCAGCCTTGAGTGAAAAAGCTAAGCCAGAGTGTGAGGCCCCAAGGTCAAGCCCTACTCTCCCCCCTCCCCCCATCCCCATGTCATCTAAGCACTCTATAAATGGGAACCCAAGAAGCTAAACTAATAATGAAGAGTCAACAACCCCTGGAAAATGTCTGGGGCTCTCTGTCCCCTAGGCAGAGCAAAGAGATTTGAACAACCTGTTTGAGAAGTATGTGCCCTACCTCATGGACGCCATCCTGGAGGGCTTCGTGGATGGGAGGCAGGGCGAGAAGCTAAAGACCATTGTCCCACAGACGGACCTGAACATGGTAGGAAGCCAGAGCTGCCAACGACAGCCCCACGGCTCCTCAGACATGCCACTGGGGCCAACCGCCACTTGGCAGAGGGCGGCAAAGGGGGGAGCCTTGCCTGGGGGACCCTTGGAAGTCAAGGTGCTAGGCTCTGTCTGCTTAGACTAATATGGCAGACCCCATGTGCTGGGCATCCAGGGCTGGGTCAGAGCTGACCCTTGGAGGCCCAGAGATGGCTCACCCTGCTCCACTGGATATTTTCCTGCGGCCCAGGTCACCCAGTTAACAAAGATGCTGGACTCACTGCTCGAGGGGGAAATCGAGGACCCAGACCTGACCGAGTGCTTCTTTCTGGAGGCTCTGTGCTGCTCGCTGGGCGCCTCGCTGCTGGAGGACGGGCGGCTAAAATTTGATGAATGTATCAAACGCCTCGCATCCCTGCCCACCGCTGAAGCCGACGGGGTTTGGGCCAAGCCTGGGGAGCTGCCAGGTAAGAACTGAGTGCCAGTACTGTTACCTGTTACCTGCATTCCTGCCCACTGGGCGTTCGTGTGTGTGTGTGTGTGTGTGTGTGTGTGTGTGTTGGTCCTGGAGCTTGAACTAAGGACCTAGATGCTGGATTTGAACTATGATCCTCAGATCTCAGCTTCCTGAATAGCTAGGGTTACGAGCAGAGGTTTCGAACTCTTCTCCATATTTCTGCCAGCATGAGCTTTCTGCCCATGTACTTCTGTTAAGAAAACACTGGTCAGAATGTCTCCAGTTTGAGCGTGTCGTTGCACATGCCTAGTCCCTGGGTGTCTGAGCACCTGGGGCAGCCCACGCCCTCACCCCCTGGCTGGGCAAAGGCCTCTGCCCCTCCCACATTCCACTGCCTCTTCATTTCCTCCATTTGAGCTTCCTGTCTGTCTGTAGCTGCATGCAATCATTTGTTCATCATTTATTCATTCCTGGGGCTCCTGTTCCCCAGTCTGTGTGCTGTGGGCAATCCCATTTGGGTTTGTGAACCGTCAGGATGCCATGGTAGGGGTGCCTGGCTCTGTACATGGAATGTGTCCACATAGCTTTGGTGGTAGGGTCCCATAACGCCATCTGTGCATGAGTTCACCTGGGAATAGGTTTGCAGAGCACCCTGGGATGGCAGAGAGGGCTGCCAGTGACCCCTGGTGCTCTTTTCACCTCTTCCATACCCATCGTGGTGCTTTTGTGTGGGGACCTTGTGCCTTGCTTCTCTATGGCAGAACTTGAAGCTCTGCACTGAGAATCCTCAGCCTCTGCTCGTGTCCCACCCTCCACCTCCCACCCTCCACAGGTGTAGGGGCAGGCTGGGCTCTGTATTGCACTCTTATATTCCCCAGGAAAAGACTTAGTGAGTATCCATCAGCAAGCAGCCAATGTTGGTCCCAAATGACAGAGTAGCATTCATTCTGAGTACTCACTAAGCACCTGTCCAAGAAGGTGTAGTGATAGGAACTCAGTAAGGGTACTCAGTGTCTGTCTGAGGATCAAGTATCTTAGTTGATGTGGGCATTGCTGGCACTGGTCCCATGTCCACGCCAGTCACACTGGCGGGGCCACTGTCACCACAGGCCACCTTCCGACTTTGTACGACTTCCACTTTGATTCCAAGAAGAACTGCTGGATCCCATGGAATAAGCTCGTCCCTGAGTATATTCACGACCACCAGAGGAAATTTGTGGACATCCTGGGTGAGTGGGGGCCACACATGGGCTGATTGTGTGTGGACGGGAGCAGGCCTGTGGCTGGACCAGAGGAGTGGGGGCAGAGGAGCCACAGGCCCCAGGGAGGTGACTTCAGGGTCCTCATCCTGGGGCCCTTGGCAGCTCTCCACCAGCCCCTCTCCCTGGGGTGGGGTTCCTCGTTCACCACACATCTCTCAAGACCCTGTGGAGATCAAAGCCCGCTGTGTAAGAATGGGTGGGCTAGGCAAGACATCTTCCAAGGAAGAAAATTAAATCCTGCTGGATAACCAGCTGGAGACAGCTTGGGACTTCCAAACCTGGGCTGTAGCTGTGCGCAGACATAATGCCTCAAATCATGCTCTTCAGATGGGGAACCTGACCTCAGGGAAGCTAGCAGACAATGGCTGGGGCAGTGGTTTTCTCCATTGTCTGTCTGAAGTTGTTGCTCCATGTCAGCTTGGTGCTTTTTCTGCCATCTGTGGGGTTTTGTGATAATGTTGCCAAATGCTTACCAGTCTTGGGGTCCTGGTGATGTTCGTCCTTCATCTTCCAGTTCACACAGTGGACACAACCCGCACCACTTGGATGCTGGAGCAAATGGTTAAAATTAAGCAGCCCATTCTTTTTGTTGGTGAATCTGGCACTTCTAAGACAGCCACCACCCAGAACTTCCTCAATGGTCTGAACGAAGACACTAATGTAAGTTTTTGTATCAGTCATCCATGGCTGTGTAACAAGTCAGCCCAGCACAGAGCATGTTGGTGCCATGTAGCCTCTAGAGCAGCTAGGATTACAGGTGTGGCCATGGTGCCAGCATCGACTTCCATGCTGTGGTGTGGCAGCACCATAGCAGGCTGCCAGACAAAGTCCATTCTCATGTGTGTGTTTTTAAAGTCACTTCCTTTGTAGCTTATGGATAATGAATGGTTAAAGCATTCACGGGAGTCCAGCTGCCGCACAAAGAGTTCCAAATCCTGTGAACCTGAATTGGGGGATTTGGTTTGGAACCCAGGAATGGGTGAACCACAGGAGGGTTCACAGGGCCCAGCCAGCAGGTTCCTCCAGAATGGGCAGACACACTGAGTGATCAAAGTGAGCGTCAGACAGTTACTGTGGTGTTCCCTTTCTCCTCCTTCCCTTTCAGATCGTGCTGATTGTCAACTTCTCCTCACGCACCACGTCCCTAGACATCCAGAGAAACCTAGAAGCAAATGTGGAAAAGCGAACCAAAGACACTTATGGCCCGCCCATGGGCAAGCGCCTCCTGGTGTTCATGGATGATATGAATATGCCAAAGGTGCCCTGAGGAGATGGCGTGCAGGGTCAGGGGGTGGGGCAGGAGGGGGAGGGGTGTGTGCCCACCCACGCACCCATCATCTGTTGGCCATCTGACCATTCATCTGCCATCCATCCACCCATCCATCATCCATCATCTACCATCCACCACCCATCCATCATCCACCCATCCACCACCCATTCATCCACCCATCCATCCTTCCATCAACCCACCCCTCTGTCCATCCATCGTCTACCATCCACCACCCATCCATCATCCACCCATCCACCACCCATCCATCCTTCCATCCATCATCCACCCATCCACCACCCATCCATCCTTCCATCAACCCACCCATCTGTCCATCCATCGTCTACCATCCATCCACCCATCCATCATCCATCATCTACCATCCACCCACCCATCCATCCTTCCATCAACCCACCCCATCCACCCATCCATCGCCCATCCATCCTTCCATCAACCCACCCCTCTGTCCATCCACCCATCCATCATCCATCATCTACCATCCACCCACCCATCCACCACCCACCCATCCATCGCCCATCAACCCACCCCTCTGTCCATCCATCCATCCATCTGCCATCCATCCATTACCCATCCGTCCATCATCCATCCAGTTGCTCCCATTGCTGAGCCCCTGCCTCAGGTTGGGTGCTGTGTGTAGAATGGCCGTCACTGCCCTCATGGTGCTTACAGCCTAGTAAGGGAGACAGACGTAAAATGTCACAAAGGGATCTGTCACTGCACATATTGAGAAGCTTCGAGCTGGGAAGAGTACCCAGAGAGAGAGAGTGCAGGAGTGACGACTTAGTTCTGCTGGCAGCCCCACCTCCCCGTGCCCCTCCCACAGGTGGACGAGTACGGCACGCAGCAGCCCATCGCGCTGCTGAAGTTGCTGCTGGAGAAAGGCTTCCTGTACGACCGTGGGAAGGAGCTGAACTGCAAGAGCATCCGAGACCTGGGCTTTGTGGCCGCCATGGGCAAGGCTGGGGGCGGCCGCAACGAGGTGGACCCGAGGTTCATCTCGCTGTTCAACGTCTTCAACGTGCCCTTCCCTTCCGAGGAGTCTCTGCACTTAATCTACTCCTCCATCCTGACTGGCCACACCTCGGTGAGGGACGCCACCCACACCCACTGCCCTCGCCTCGCCCCAAGCCCAGTGCCCAGTGTCCGCTGCGGGGTCTGTGGCCATGACACGCTTTAGTCCTCTCTGACTCAAAGGAAAAGCTTTTTATGCCACGGCGGTCATAAAGTCATACAGTCTAACATCCATATTTTTCATGGATCAGGGGATCCCCAAAAGAAAAGAGCCAGGGGCTCCTGGAAGCTGTGATGTGGCTGAGCTTTTTCCATCTTGAGTGGTAACTGTGTCCCCTGGGGCCTGGGCTGCTGCCTGCCCTGTCCTGCCCTTGTCTCTCTTGGGACAAGGAAGTGTAGGCGGGGCTTGGGGAGATCGAGAGCACAACACTGAAGTGGATGGCACATGCCCGTGGAGCACTGTGTGTGCAGCATGTGTGTGAGAGAGGGAGTGTGTGTGTGTGTATACATGCACATGCAGATACACATATTCTAGTACTGGAACTTAAACTCAGGATCTCTCATCATTGTTCTTTGTTTTGTTTTGTCGGACATGGGGCTTGAACTCTGGGCCTGGGCGCTGTCCCTCAGCTCTTGAGCTCAAGGCTAGCGCTCTACCATTTGAGCCACAGCACCACTTCCAGTTCTCTGGCAGTTTATTGGAGATAAGAGTCTCACAGATTTTCCTGTTCAGGCTGGCTTTGAACCGTGATCCTCAGATCTCAGCCTCCTGAGTAGCTAGGATGACAGGCGGGAGCCACCAGCGCCCGGCTATAGGACTTCTCCTTCTTGCTTAGCTTTTTCACTCAAGGCTGGCACTCTACCACTTGAGCCATAGCTTTACTTCTGGCTTTTTGGTTGGTTTATTGGAGATAAAGAGTCTTGCAGACTTTATTGTCCAGGTTTGAATTGTGAACTTCAGATCTCAGCCTTCCCAGAGGCTTAGGACTACAGGCATGAGCCACAGCACCTGGCTAGGTGCATTGTTATGATGGCTCATGTGCTCTTCCCAGGGAGCCTGCTCTTCCTCACCCCGGCCTTGCTAGTCCCTTTCTTAGTTGGAGTCTGTGCTCTCAAAGTCTATACACTGAAAGGCTTCTGGGCAGGAGGAGGAATGATAGAAAGTTTAGAATCTGAAACATTTAGTTCCTTCACAGCATGTTTCTTCTGTCTTTGTGGACTTAGCCATCCTTGCATTTCCAATAGAGGGAATTCTACACGTGGCCTCTGAATCTGCCTTCTTTTGCTCAGCATCATGTTCTAGGTTCCTCTAGGCTGTTCAAGTGTTGTTCCTGCTTGGGGCTCAGTACCTCTGGTGCGGGGGGTGGGGCGGGGGGGAGGGCGCGGACATGACATGGCTTTGACTCCATTCATCCACTGATGGGTAGTGGGTGTGTCTTGCTTCATTTTTTAGAACTTTCACGAGAGCATCGCAGCTGTGAGCCGCAAGCTGACCTCCTGCACGCTGGCTCTTTACAAAGTCATTGTTCAGGATCTGCCTCCCACTCCCTCCAAGTTCCATTACATCTTCAACCTTCGAGATCTCTCCCGGGTTTTCAATGGTCTTGTCCTCACTCACCCGGAGCGGTAAGTCGGTCGTCTTGTGAAGAGGATGGGTTTATTTATTTAGGCAGTACTGGGATTTGAACTCAGGGCCTCATGCTTGCTAGGCAGACACTCTTCCTTCCACTTGAGCCACAGCTTCAGACCTTGCTGGTTGTCAGGTAGGGTTTCAGGCTTTTTTTCTTGCCTTGACTGGTCTGGACTGCAATCCTCCTATTTATATTTTCTACATGCCCAGGTGTGTGTGTGTGTGTGTGTGTGTATGTGTGTGTGTGTGTGTGTGTGTGTGTGAGACATAGGATCTCACTTTTTTCCTGGACTGACCTTAAACTACAAGGACTCTCACCCCTGCCGCTGCCAATCAGCTACACAGTTGTGAGAAGCCGTGCAGGGAACAGAAAGGATTTAAGTCAGGGAGAAATGGGTTCTGATTGAAACTGGACTGGGATCTGCCTTAGTCTATGTGGATTTGAAAACCTAGTTCAACCGGGCTGCTTCAGAGCTGGTCAAGGGCCTCTGGGAAATGAGTCCAGCCCTTTACATACTGTCCTGGGCGGCTTCAGGATGGCAGAGTTGGTGGGACCACCGCTCCAGGCATTTTGGTGCATAATAGTCTTGGCCAGGGAAGGTTCTGGAACTAGGAGTAGATGGTGTTGGCTTTTACTGATACTGATTTTAAATTCATATATTCCAGCAAGGGCATCCACTGCTAAGCCTCTACTATGTATGTTATTTAGAGAGAGATTCTTTTCCTTCCTCAGAACCGTGTAAGTCAGGCAGACATTTATGGTATTTGCATTTAATTTGATTGACTTCCGGAGAGCATTAGGTGAGATTTCCGTGGCCTGAGACTAGAGGCAGGAAGGTTCTAGAAATATGTGGCTCTCCTGCTGTCACCTGTGGCAGCCTCTCTAGGCTGCAGCGTGGTGGCTGGCTCAGCTCTCTGTCCATCCGTCCATCTGCCCGCCCACAGATTCCTGATTGTGGCCCAGATGGTGAGGGTTTGGAGGAATGAGTGTCTGCGAGTCTTCCATGACCGGCTCATCAACGAAACAGACAAGGAGCTGGTCAGTGCACAGGAAATGGAGCCGGGGCTCAGTGTGGGCCACCAGATTCCTCCCAGAACAGACAGAGCAGAACAAACAAGTATTAAAAAACAAAAACAACCTACCACCACCACCACTGCCAACAACAACAGTCACAACCACAAACCTGGGGTTTCTGTACAGGACCCCAAATTGTGACAGAATAGACACCAGCTGGGAAGGTCATTAGGGGGCTATGGGGAACCCTGCCATCTTTGAAGCAAAACTCATGGGTGCATTGTTTGGTAGTGACGCCTCCCCCAGTCCGCACCGGCGCTGCCCTCAAGGCTGGGTCCCGGCATGGCTCCTCTGCTTTTCAGGTGCAGCAACACATAAGAACGCTGGTGGTGCACCACTTCCCTGACGACCTGGAGTCAGTGATGAGGGACCCCATTCTGTTCGGAGACTTCCGCATGGCTCTGCATGAGGAGGAGGCACGCGTCTATGAGGACATCCAGGACTACGAGGCGGCCAAGGCTCTGTTCCAGGTGGGCCCGGGCCCTGCCCCCGGAAGAACCTGTCCACCACAGGCCAGACGTGTGGGCCCGTGTCAGATCTGGTGGCTCATACCTCTGTGGTCTGTTCTGGTTTACTGCTGGCCAGACAGAATCCAGCAGACGGGCCACGTGTCTTGGCTCATTCCTATAATCCGAGCTATTCAGGTGTTGAATGGAGATTGGGAGGATTTCAGTTTGAAACCAGCCTGGGAAAGAAATTAATGAGATCGGGCTGGGAAGGTGCCTTGCATGCCTGAGGCCCTGGGTTCGATGCCTCAGCACCACATAAGTAAAAAGAAAAAAAAAGCCGGAAGTGGCACTGTGGCTCAAGTGGTAGAGCGCTAGCCTTGAGCTAAAGAGCTGAGGGACAGCGCTCAGGCCCAGAGTTCAGGCCCATGACCAGACCAAAAAAAAAAAAAAAGAAATTAATGAGATCCCCACCCATGCCTGTCATTTAAAAATAAAATAGGAGGCTGGTCCAGGCAGCAGACAGACAGATAGACAGACAGACAGACCGACAGACCCTATTTGAAAAATAATGAAAGCAAAGAAGGCTGAGGGAGTAGCTCAAGTAGTGGAGTGCCTACCTGGCAAGTTCACAAGGCCCTGAGTTCAAACTCTAGTACCGCCAAAATAAATAAAATAGCCTAGCAGAATGAAATCTTGATAAAGCTCAACTTAATCCCGCAAGTACACATGGCTTCATTATTTCAATAGTTGTAGATGTTTGGAGAAGAAAAAAAAGTCTACATTCTTAATCTCTCCAAAATAAGGAGTCATCATAATTGTAGATGTTTGGAGCAGGGAAGTCTGTGAGACTCTTATCTCCAATTAACCACCACAAAAGCTGAAAGTGGCACCGTAGCTCAAGTGGTAGAGCGCCAGCCTTGATGGAAGAGTTCAGGGACAGTGCCCAGGCCCTGAGTTCAAGCCCTGGGACTGGCATGCCTGAGTATATATTCACACAGCGACACACACATGCACACACATTCACATATATAAACAACACGTGTACACACAGTGATGTGTACAGTATGTCTCCCCAGGAGATCCTGGAAGAGTACAATGAGAGCAACACCAAGATGAACCTGGTGCTGTTTGACGATGCGCTGGAGCACCTGACCAGAGTGCACCGCATCATCCGCATGGACCGTGGTCACGCCCTGCTGGTGGGTGTCGGAGGCTCAGGGAAGCAGTCACTGGCCAGGTTGGCGGCCTACACAGCTGGCTATGAGGTGAGTCCCTGCGCCCAACTCGCAGAGGCTTCCCAGGCCACAGTACTTCGTGCATGTGATGCTGAAAGATGAAGAAGATGTCAAGTTCAAAGGTCAAATGCAAGCCGGCAGGTGGGTGGGGAGGCTGTGGCCCAGGTGACTTTGGTGGTCTGGGTGGGTTTGGTGTCAGTGGCCTCGGTGACTTTGGTGACCGTAGCATAGTGACTGTGGCCTGGGTGGCTTTGGTGGCTGTGGCTTGGTGACTGTGGCCTGGGTGGCTTTGGTGGCTCTGGCCTCAGTGGCTGTGGCTTGGGTGACTTCAGGGGTCATGGCCTCTGTGCCTGTGGCAACCTTGGTGATCTAGTGTCCACCCTCAGGTGTTTGAGATCATGCTGAGCCGTGGCTACTGTGAGACCAGCTTCCGGGAGGACCTGAAGAACCTTTACCTGAAGCTGGGGATCGAGAACAAAACCATGATCTTCCTGTTCACCGATGCGCAGGTGGCCGAGGAGGGCTTCCTGGAGCTCATCAACAACATGCTCACCTCAGGTATGGCGGGGGGGGGCATCTACCTTGTTTTGGAATGGGGGAAACTGAGGCAGACATGCTGCAGAGGATTGAAGGGCCCCACCTCTGAGCAGGGTCTACCCAGACTCGATCTTCATCTCTACTATACCTGATTCTCTACAAGATGTTACATTTCTGCCTGAAATTGGTCTCCATCTTTGATACACCTAGTTACATTTCACTCATAAGTTAGATGACAGGCGTAAGCCACCATGCCTGGATTAATAGTTGGGGGGAGGAGGGGGGAAGCTTGCTTGCTTTTTGCCACAATTATTCTCAAAATATAAACCTGATCTCTGCCTCCTGAGCAGCTTTATTATGGGCACACAGCACTGCACCTAGCCTCTTTGTGGTGTGTTTAAAGAAGATAAGGCCATATAGTCATTGCAGGGATGTCTAGCTTTGCTTTTGTTTGTGTGTTTGCATGTGGCTTCTCTTTGACTGTGGAGATTAGGTTGGGGGGGCAGGAGAGGAGGGGTCATTGGAAGGCCCGGGGCCAGCCCTGCCCTCCTGGCTCTTCTGTTTGGGAGTGGGGATGAGTGGCGCCACGTGATGTGGTATGGAGAGGCAGTTCCCGTGTCTGTGTGCAGGCATGGTCCCTGCGCTGTTCCTCGAGGAGGAGAAGGAGGGCATCCTCAGCCAATTGTGCCAGGAGGCCCTGAAGATGGGCATGGGGCCTGCCAAGGAGTCTGTGTGGCAGTACTTCGTGAAGAAGAGTGCCAACAACCTGCACATCGTCCTGGGCATGTCGCCTGTCGGGGACACCCTGAGGACCTGGTGCAGAAACTTCCCGGGTACCAGGGCTTTGCCTCGGGTGGCAGGGCATGGGCACTGGGCACCGCTGCCCAAGCTTCCTCCAAGAGGACACAAGGTGCTACCGAGTGTCCCACGATGTGAAGCTGGGCCTAAAAGAGGGGTGTGGATGTGAAGAAGGGCCGGGAGAGGGGTGCGGGTGGCAAGCTCTCTACAGGCTGGTGTGCATTAGCTAGGAACCTGCGAACGCTGTTTTCAAGAGGGGCCGGGAGGGGATATGACAGTAAGGAGAGGCTCTGATCAGAGCATATTGCACACTCACACACACACACACACACACACCTACCTCCTTCTTTCCCCTCCCTCCCCCCCCCCCCCCCCCCCCCCCCCCCCCCGTGGCACTTGGATTTGAACTCAGACCTCTTTTTTTCTTCAAGGTCTGGTGAATAACACTGGCATCGACTGGTTCATGCCCTGGCCTTCACAGGCACTGCACGCAGTCGCCAAGTCATTTTTAGGTAAGTCACTTCGTCCTGACAGAACTGTGGTAATGCCTTTCTGATTTTGAATTTTGATCCCATAGATTCTCTATGGCAATGAATGACCTATAACAAAATAGTTAATGAATTGTTTGTATCTTTTGTGGTTTAAATCCAAAAGGGATTTCAGGAACTCATAAGGCCACTAGGATAAAAACTGACTGAGTGGTTCTGTGTCACAGGGCTAAAAAGCTAAGCAAGAATGTGAGGCCCAGAGTTCGAGCCCTGGTACCAACACACACACGCGCGCGCGCGCGCACACACACACACACACACGCACGCACACGCGCGCGCACGCGCACACACACACACACACACACCCTCTGGGGTGCTCGGATTACAGGCTGTCCCATCACACTCAGTCTTGTGTGTGTGTGTACTGGGGCTTGAACTCAAGGCTTCTCACTCTTGCTTGGCTTTTTCTGCTCAAGTAGCTAGGATTACAGGTATGGGCCACTAGCACCTGACTTCTTCTTGAATTGAATTAAAAAGATCAGCCTGGTGCCAGTGGCTCACAGTCCTAGCTATTCAGGAGACAGAAGCAGAGATTAGGACTGTGGTTCAAGGCTAGCCTGAGCAAAAAGGTGGTAAGATCAGGCTGGAAGAGCGACTCAGTGGTAGGCCCTCCTGCCTAGCAAGCACCAAACATTCTATCGAAACAAAGTTTATTTTAATATAACCTTTTTGAATTTTAACCATTTTGGGAGTGTGCATAGTATGAGGCTTTTGAATTCAGGGCCTTGACTTTGCTAGGTGAGCTGTTTACCACTTGGGCCACGTAGCCTATGCTTTTGCCTTCAGTTTTGGTTTGGATGCTTTCTCCTGGTTGACCTGGGACCAGGATTCTGCACCACCACCCCTGGCTTTCTACATGTCTCTTTTTGGGGAACTGTCCTTCTCCCTTTAAAAGGTACCTCCGTCCCATCTTCTTCAGGTGACAACGATCTGATCCCAGGAGACAGCATTGAGGACTTGGTGGAGCATGTGGTTCTGGTTCACGAATCTGTGGGTGAATATAGCAAGCAGTTCCTCCAGAAACTGAGGCGCAGTAACTATGTGACCCCTAAGAATTACCTGGATTTTATTAACACATACTCAAAATTGCTGGATGAAAAAACTCAGTATAACATAGGTAAGACGTGGGGATGAGACGGTTAGCCTGTCACTGTGGCTTAGGAGTGAGGATTCGTGTATGTGTGTGTGTGTGTGTGTGTGTGTGTGCGTGTGTGTGTGAGCACGCGCATGCACGCACGCTGGTGCCAGGACTTGAACTCTGGGCCTCAGATTCTTGCTTAGCTTTTTAGCTCCAGACTAGCCCTCTACTACTTGAGACAAACCTTCACTTTTGGCTTTTGGGTGGTTAATTGGAGATGGGAGCCTCTTAGGTTTGTCTGAGGATCAAATCACAATCCTCAGATCCCAGCCTCCTGAGCAGCTAGAATTACAGGCCTGAGCCACTGCACCTGGCTCAAGTGCTCAACTTGAAGCAGGTGGTTTTCTTCGTCTGTGGTGCTGGTGATGGAGCCCAGGGCCCAGTGTTCTTGGAAGAGCCCTGCTGTCAGGCTCCAGCCCCAGTTAAGGGTGTCAGATCACACGCATGCTCAGGATTGAGGCAGAGCAGAGCTCATTTGGGGTCTGACTTTGGGTAATTCTTGTGGGTAGATGCAAGTTCTTACTATTCCTAGTGTTGGCCATGAACTTGGCAGCCCTGGGGCTGCCCTTTGGTGGGCAGCATGCTCTGCTGTACGGGGTTCTTTAGAAAGGGCGCTCTGGCTGCGGGTCCACTGAGACAGGTTTCAGAAAAATCTGTTCACTTTGCTGACGCTGGGTGGGGCAGGTGGTACTGGAAGACGCATACTGTTGAGCCAGGTGATTTTTACCGGACTTGAGTGAGGTTGGGTCAGCCTCAGCGGGGCTGGTGGGGTGCCTGCGGGGGACAGCGCCCCCTGCAGATTCATGGTGCTGTCGGTCCCCAGCCCAGTGCAAGCGCCTGGAGGGCGGGCTGGATAAGCTGAAGGAGGCGTCCATCCAGCTGGACGAGCTCAACCAGAAGCTGGCTGAGCAGAAGATCGTGCTGGCCGAAAAGTCCGCCGCCTGTGAGGCCCTGCTGGAGGAGATTTCCACCAACACAGCCATAGGCGAGTATGGGGACAGGGCCCCCCAGGACTCCCCTCCAGTCCCGGCCTATACCTGACATTTCACTCCAACACCTCGCTGCGCGCCAGCACACAGCTGTATGTGAGGATGTCCCCACTCAGAAATTGTTTCACACGTCATGGTCATACCTAGGGGACACTGACATTAACCATCCATGGGGTGTGTCCTCCTCAAAAGGACGCCGGTCACCAGGCTGGGCCGCCCTACCTCACCTAGTTGACACCATTGCTTCCAAGAAAGTGTGTTTTGGAGGCTCTGGTGGGCAGGGATTGTAGGGGGCTCATTCACCCCAGCTCAGTGCCCATGGGCCAAGTCCTGCCCAGGCATGGGGGCTGCAGACCCTGGGGGCAACAGCAACCGAATGGCCAGGGAGCAAGCAGTCAGCAATGATGTGCTGTGACAGAGGGGTGACCCTCCATGTGGGCCCGAATGAACCCCAGAAAAGGGGATGAGGAAGGAGAGAGGGACAGAGAGATCTCAGTGAGTCAGAACAGGGTGGGTAGGCTGGGGTACCTGGGGAACCCCAACCAGACAGGTAGAGGTGTCTAGGGGTGGGGTGACCAGCCATGGGATGGGGGCCAGAGTGGCTGTCCGGTGGTTGGAGACCCCACACACAGTCCCTCAGGTATACCCAAGGCTGCCACATCTGCCTGAGCCCCTCAGAGCCTGCTCTGAGGCTTGCACATGTTTGGGGGTTAGGGGGGAGGGCTGGGACTCACCAGCTGTGCACCCCACAGCTGAGGAGAAGAAGAAGCTGGCGGAGGAGAAGGCCATAGAGATCGAGGAGCAGAACAAGATCATCGCGGTGGAGAAGACGGAGGCCGAGACAGCCCTGGCTGAAGTCATGCCCATCCTGGAGGCAGCCAAGCTAGAGCTGCAGAAGCTGGATAAGTCAGACGTGACCGAGATCAGGTAGCCAGGGCCACCAGCTGCTGGCTGCTGCCTTTGACCCCATGCGTGCCTGGGCACGTGTCCAGGTGGGGACAGCCACTGCCCTCATGTGCAGATAGAAAAGGCAGCTTGTCCCGGCCCTCCATCCCTAGGGTACAGGGCCTGATGTGCGTATGTGTGCAAGTGTGCTTGTGCCTTTGTTTCCCACCTCGGACCCACCCTGGGTGCCCTCCAGCTGATGCTCTTGTTTTGCCAGGTCTTTCGCTAAGCCCCCGAAGCAGGTGCAGACAGTGTGCGAGTGCATCCTCATCATAAAGGGCTACAAGGAGCTCAACTGGAAGACAGCCAAGGGCATGATGTCTGACCCGAACTTCCTCAGGTCTCTGATGGAGATGGACTTCGACTCCGTCACCCAGAGCCAGGTTAAGAACATCAAAGGTGAGTAGACCAAGAGCGGTGAGGAGGGGCTGGTGCCACTGCCGCTCTCACACACAGCAGCGGGACAGCAGCGCGTCCCTTTGGTGACTTGGGGAGAAAGTGGCACCTCTCTGCAGTGGCCTGGGGACGGGACAGTGTGCCTGGTCACTGGGCCAGCTGGACCTCTAGGTCAGAGGACTGCGTCTGCTTGCTGGCCCTCAGCCTGGCCGCCTCTGTGTTCCCATGTGCGTGACAGCCCAGTGCCTGCCCACCTTGACTGCCCCTCTTGCATTCTCTGCCACAAAAGCTGCTGTGGGACCCTGGGGAATAGGTGGGGAGGACGGCATCGTCCATGGCCAGCTGAGAGGCTTCAGGTGGAGCTGAGCCCTGGGGCCCTAGGCAGCACTTAGGTAGAAGCATGGTAGAACCATGGCAGTACGAACGAACCATGGTGGAATCATGGTGGGACCAACAGAACCATGGCGGAACCAATAGAACCATGGTGGAACCATGGCAGAACCAACAGAACCATGGCGGAACCATGGCGGGACCATGGTGGGACCAACAGAACTATGGCAGAACCATGGAGGGACCAACAGAATCATGGAGGGACCAACAGAATCATGGCGATACCAACAGAACCATGGCGGTACCAACAGAACCATGGCGGGACCATGGCAGTAAGAACAGAACCATGGCAGCACAAAAGGAGAGCTTGCTCACCGACGTGGGCAGCTCTCAACACCCCGGCCCGGGGCTCTTAGTGGTCACAGCTGGGAAGCCCCAAGGTCTCCCTTTACCTGAAAACTGATGTGTGTGTGGACCCCACGCATTTCTGTCAGCTGGCTCCTGGGGCGAGGGTGCAGAGGGAGGTGACGGGAGGTGATGGTGACCCACTGTGTCAGGTGCCTGTGCTAAGCCCCACTGGTGCCCCCCAGGGCTGTGGGGTGCACCAGGGTCACAGGCTATTGCAGGTGGCAGTAGCTGTGACCCTCACAATTCCTTAGCCCCCTCATATCTGTCAGTACCCATGTATACAGGGATCACTGTTCACCCCACTCCTGTCCTGTGGGGGCTTTGTGAGAGGCACTGACCCCCAGTTTTGTTCTCCTGAGACAAAGAGGGCCCTGACAGTATCTTTGACCTTCAGGCCTCTTGAAGAACCTCAACACCACCATTGAAGAAATGGAGGCTGTGAGCAAGGCCGGGCTGGGCATGCTCAAGTTCGTGGAGGCTGTGATGGGCTACTGTGATGTTTTCAGAGAAATCAAGCCCAAAAGAGAAAAGGTCTGAGCCCTTTGCCGGGAGAAGCCACGCCCCCTGAGAGGCCAGGCCCAGTTAGACCACACCCCATACAAGGCTGCACCCATATAAAGCCACGCCCCAACGAGGCCATGCCCACGGGAGACTACACCCCCAACCCCCTACTGCCATACAGGCTACTTTGGAGTCAGAGGAATATCTGTACTGGAAAAACTGGAACAGGTTCAATAGATCTCCTCAGTAAATGTGACCTGAGTTTCAGCTTTGCATTACAGACCCTGGGAATAGAGGCAAGGTCTGAGAGACTTAAACATTCTGTACAAAAAGCGCAGGATGGAAGCTGGGCACCGGTGGCTCACGCCTGTCGTCCTAACTACTCAGGAAGCTGAGATCCGAGGCTCGAGGTTCCAGCCTGGGCAAGGAAATCCATGAGACTCTTCAATGAACCACCAGAAAACCAGAATTGGTGCTCTGGCTCAAGTGGTAGAGCGCTCACCTTGAGCTGAAGAGCTGAGGGTCAGCGCCCAGGCCCAGAGTTCAAGCCCCACGACTGACAAAAACAAAACGAAACAAAACAAAAAACAGTGTAGGATGGAAAATGTTAAAATCACATTCTAGCGCTAAGGCAGAGGATCTCAGCCTGAGCCCGGCTGCCACATATGGCTGGGTCCTCCTCCTTGTGCGGGGCTGTGCTTGTCGGGTCGGTCATTCCCTCTTGTGGGGGGGCCAACCCTGGTCTCTACCCCCCAAGTTGTGTCACCCAGAAACACTACAGCACTCCCCTGGGCAAGAAGGGCCCTGTTGAGGACAGCTGGTCCGGCGCATGGGCCCCGCGTGGTGGCCGGTCATCCCGCTCCCACGGCTGTGTGACTGGGAAGCTCGCTGGTGGACCAGCGCTGTCCACGGAGACTGTGGCACACAGGGACAGCGTGCCAACCGCCCACTCGGGTGCAGGGTGTCATTTTCTAATGGATGCAGCAGGACAGGGCATAAATTCTAGAAAGATGCCATACCCCCGAGCCATACTCTGGCTCCTTTGCTTTTAGTGTGTTGCTCAGGTACAGTCTCATACTTAGAGTGCGATTTTCCAACCTCTGCATCTTGTGTAGCTGGGACTGCAGGTGGAAAACCCGACACCCAGTTTGTTATTGAGATGGGGCTTCCCTAGCTCTTTCCCTGTGCCAGTGTTGTCCCCCAGCCCTCTGACCTTTTCTTCTGTGTGCCTTGGCAGAGTGTATAGTGGTCCCAGAGTGCATGACCACCACGAGAAACACCGTGTGGACTGCGCCCAGGCCCGGGGCAGGGTCCCTGCCCACCATGGTCCTTTTGCCCATTATTTGTGAACTTGTCCTCACCCAGGTGGCAAGGCTGGAGCGGAATTTCTACCTAACAAAACGGGAACTAGAAAGGATCCAGAATGAGCTGTCTGCAATTCAGAAAGAGCTGGAAGCTCTGGGTGCCAAGTACGAGGCAGCCATCCTAGAGAAGCAGAAGCTGCAGGAGGAGGCAGAGGTGATGGAGCGGCGGCTCATCGCTGCTGACAAGCTCATCTCCGGGCTGGGATCGGAAAACATCAGGTCAGCCTGCGCCCAGGGCTGCCCCTGCGCGGCACCACGGGAGCGCTTTCAAGCCTGCCCTCACTCGTGTCACCCTGTGAATTCTTCATTCCACATTGTTCTTTTATCTGAAAGCCACGTGACAGGTTACGTGGCAATTGTATTTAGTTCTAACTGGTGTGGTCGCCCATTAGGTCACCATTAATTGTCAAAGCAGGCAGTGGGGCTGTGGAGACGCAAAACGATCATGTCTGGGGAGTGGGGACCTCTTGGTGGCCTTTATTTAGCCCCTAGTGGGGTGTGTATGCACACATGCGCATGTGCATGGGCCAGTACTGGGCTTAAACTCAGGGCCTTGCACTAGCACTCTTGTTTGGATTTTTTTTTTCCTGGCTAATAAGACTCTCTTGGATTTGTCTGCCTGGACTTGCTCTGAGCATGATCCTCAGATCTCAGCCTCCTAAGCTGCTAGGATTATACATGTAAGCTGCTGGCACCTGCTTCTTTTTATTTATTTATTTATTTTTGTTGGTCATGGGGCTTGAACTCTGGGCCTGGGCGCTGTCCCTGTGCTCTTCAACTCAAGACGAGCACTCTACCGCTTGAGCCACAGCACCACTTCTGGTTTTCTAGTGGTTTATTGGAGATAAGAGTCTCATGGACTTTCCTGCCCAGGCATGCTTTGAATCATGATCCTCAGATCTCAGCCTCCTGAGTAGCTAGGATTACAAGCGTAAGCCACTGGTGCCCAGTTTCTTTTTATTTTTTTTAAGTGTTCTTTAAACAGAGTCTCAGCCCAAAGTGTCCTAGAACCTGGCTTCAAACTTAGAATCCTCCTATTTCTTCCTCCTGAAGGCCAGCATTACAAGCATGCTCCACTCTGCCTGGCTGCAGAAGGGATTCGTAGGGCCCTGTGGCTTTTCAGGTCCTCAGTCTTCACTGCTTGGAGACAGGACTGTGAGTGGAGCCATAGCTCCGCTTCTCACCTGGCACTAGTGTGGTACAGAGTACACCGCAAAGCTGGATGTGGTGGTGTATACCTGTAATCCCACTACTGGGTGGAGGCTCCAGTATTGTGAGCTTGAGGCCAGCCTGAGCTACCTAGCAAGATACTGTTCCAAAAGACCAAGTGAGCAAACAAACAGAAACCAATGGAACGTGCCATGGACTAAATCTCCAATATTGCTAAAACCTAGGAGATGGTAGGTATTTTCCAGAAGAGGCAAACAAATAAAATATCTACTTTAAAATGTTTTATGGCCAGGCGCCAGTGGCTCACGCCTGTAATCCTAGCTACTCAGGAGGCTGAGATCTGAGGATTGAGGTTCAAAGCCAGCCTGGGCAGGAAAGTCCATGAGACTCTTATCTCCAATAAAACCACTAGAAAACCGGAAGTGGTGCTGTGGCTCAAGCGGTAGAGCGCTCACCTTGAGCTGAAGAGCACAGGGACAGCGCCCAAGCCCAGAGTTCAAGCTCCACGACTGACAAAAATAAAATAAAATAAAATGTTTTATGTTATTACAAAGGTGATGTACAGAGGGGTTGCAATTACATGTCAGGTAAAAAGCACATTTCTTTTTGGACAATGACACCCCTCATTCTCTCCCCCCAAAAATCTGCTTTTGTTTCTCTTGTGTAGAACTCTCGTCAGCTGGGACCAGAGCTCTGAGCTCTGCTGGGCTTATTTATGTCGATTGCCTTTACAACTTGAGCAATATTTGGGCCAAATGAACCCTGTTAGGGAGTGTGTGCCTCCTGCTGGAGACCGGCCGCAACCACCTTCCCAATGCCGTGTTCTCCAGGTTGGGCTGGTGATGGAGCTTTCTTTCTAGAAGAAAGAACCTTAAAAATCCTCAAGCTAACAGACTCTGGTTAGCGAGGTGTTGAGCTGGTTTTTCTAGAATATTCCTTTAGTTGTTCTTAGTTGCTCTGTCTGGCTCTCCTGGTGTATTTACCTGCTGTGATGGGAATCTGTTTTTGTTTCAAGTCACTGCCCGTGGTCAGGACCCGCGCGAGGGTCCTCCCCCTCGTTCTCACGGACACAAGGTCTGCGTGTACTTGTGGGGTGCAGGTACTGTCCCTGTGGCGGGAAGGTCTCGGCTAGCGCGGCCCCCTGTCCCGTGCAGGTGGCTCAAGGACCTGGACGAGCTGATGCACCGGCGGGTGAAGCTGCTGGGCGACTGCCTGCTCTGCGCGGCCTTCCTGAGCTACGAGGGGGCCTTCACCTGGGAGTTCCGGAAGGAGATGGTGCACGAGGTCTGGCAGAACGACATCCTGGAGCGGGAGATCCCGCTGAGCCAGCCCTTCCGCCTGGAGAGCCTGCTCACTGACGACGTGGAGATCAGCAGGTGGGACGCGGCCCGGAGCCCTCAGGCTGCGGCTGCAGGGTGCCGTCCTGGGGACGAGGCGAGGGCACAGACAGTCCATGCAGCCTGCAGCCCTCCTCCCTGGAGCCTGGCCATGGGCAGAATGTTCTGGAAGGCCGATGGGTCACTGTAGTTTCCGGGGCTGTCCCTCCAGGTGGGGGTCCCAGGGGCTGCCCCCCGACGAGCTGTCTGTGCAAAACGGCATCCTGACGACGCGTGCCAGCCGCTTCCCGCTCTGCATCGACCCCCAGCAGCAGGCGCTCAACTGGATCAAGAGGAAGGAGGAGAAAAACAACCTGCGGGTACAGCCGGCGCCCCGCATCCTGGGCGCGTCCCCAGGACCACGGCTCCAATGCTAGCTCTCACCACAGCCCATGACTGCCTGCCCTGAGCCCCGCACACCTCCTCCCTTCCCCGCCCCTCCTCTCCCTCCTCTGCCAGCCTCGGCTTCCCCAGGCACTAGAGTGGTATGAACCTGACCCCCTAGGTTGGAGCGTCTTGAGGGAGAAGATCGCGTTTTCCCATTTCTTCCCCTTCCACCGGGTACAGGGAGGAGGAGGGGTGGGCAAGGAGGAGGAGGGGCGGGCGGGAGGGAAGTCGAGATCAGCAGCTTCATGGGGATAGATTTCACTCGCCATCTTGTTCCCCTTCTAGCACACATGAGACTGTTGTAACTGAGTTCCTCAGTTGTAATACAGTCATAAGAATAAAGTCCAGACCCTTCTCCTTCTCCATAAGGAAACGCTGTAGCGCTGCCGGTCACCACCATTTCTGTGCGTTCCTTATCCATGGAGTCCTGCCCCGGGCCTCTGTGTCTGGCTGCTGTGTATAGTGTCAAGTTTCCAACTTCATCCATACTCCAGCACACGTGGGCTCCACTCCTTTTGATGGCTGAATAATATTCCACTGTGGGGCTCTGCCACGTTCCCCTCTCCCTGTCCGCTGCTGAGCTTCCTGGCTGTGAACATCTGTGCTTTCTGGTCGTGCTCTGAGGCCTTGGAGGCTCACACCTGGGAGAGGGGCTCGAGGGCCTGATCACACTGACTCCTGAAGTCATTAACCAATGGCGGATTCCCAGTGAATTCCTTGCTTCTGTCCGGACGCTCTTCGCACGCTTCCTGGTGCGCAGCGGCTCCAGCGTCTGTCCCTGTCTTCCAGGTGGCTTCCTTTAACGACCCCGACTTCCTCAAGCAGTTGGAGATGTCCATCAAGTATGGCAGCCCGTTCCTGTTCCACGACGTGGACGAGTACATCGACCCGGTGATCGACAACGTCCTGGAGAAGAACGTGAAGGTGTCGCAGGGGCGGCAGTTCATCATCCTCGGGGACAAGGAGGTGGACTACGACTCCAACTTCCGCCTCTACCTCAACACCAAGCTGGCCAACCCCCGCTATTCCCCATCCGTGTTCGGCAAAGCGATGGTGATCAATTACACCGGTGAGGAGGGCCGGGGCCTGGGTGCAGATCCAGCTGGCTTTCCCAGAGACCACCACGTGTGATGGGCACCTGGACGGGGTCCTTCACCCCGTGACCCTGGCGCCCATCTCCCAGGCTGGTTCTCAGCGAGAAGGTTTGGGGCCTTTGCAGGGCTGTGGGTCCCTGGTCCCGGGCATGTGGCCATTCCCCAGGCTCAGGAGCTCAGGTGCACAGGGCTTGACAGCGGGGCTCTGCTGAGTCCTCCCTACAGTCAGGATAGGACTCGGCCCTGCCTCTGATCAGGAATTGAATACTGTTTCTCAACTTACGTATTTATACGATTAGGGGTTCTGCTTATGGTGCTACTGGGCTTTGAACTCATGGCCTCACACTTTGCTTGGCAGGTGTTCTACTTGAGCCACACTTCCAGCCCCTTTGGGCTCTAGTAATTTTTAGAGAGTCTTGTTTTTCACCTGGGGCTGGCCTTAGATGGCAACCCTTCTTCCTGTGCCTCCCTGTTGCCCGGCTTGTTGGTTAAGATGGGGTCTTGCTACCTTTTGTCTAGCCTGGCCTCCAGCCACCATCCTCTTACTCTGCCCTGATAGCTGGATTACAGGTGTCAGCCGCTGTGCCCAGCCTGGGGTTGTCAGACATTGTTTAAATTAGGGTGTCCCCCCATATGAGTCCTGTTCCTACCCTACCACGTGGCTGCTTTGTGCTGCGTGAGTCTCCTGCAGTCCCTGCATGGGGTCTGGTGGGATGGGGGGGCTGCACCCCAGTCCCGTGGGGGTGGGCAGGCATGGGCAGCTGGCAGCCCGGCAGCGAGGCGGCTTCTGGTGCCTGCAGTCACGTTGAAGGGCCTGGAGGACCAGCTGCTCAGCGTGCTGGTGGCCTTCGAGCGGCGGGAGCTGGAGGAGCAGCGGGAGCACCTCATCCAGGAGACGAGCGAGAACAAGAACCTGCTGAAGGACCTGGAGGACTCGCTGCTGCGGGAGCTGGCCACGTCCACGGGGAACATGCTGGACAATGTGGAGCTGGTGCAGACGCTGGAGGAGACCAAGTCCAAGGCCATGGAGGTACGCACCGCCAGGCGGGCAGAGGCCAGGCTCCACCGGGGCTTCCATGAGATTCGTGAAACTTAGATGGACAGAAAAAAACAGCCCTAGGTGGTGTAAGTCAAAGGGAAGTTATCCTCTGACAAGGCTGAAAAGCCAGGGGTGGCTTCACTGGGGCTGGATCCAGGGCTCTAGAAATACCACATCTGGATTTAGTTCCTCTCCGTTTCCGGGCTGGGCCTTCTTCGTTCTCTGCCAGTTTTGTCCTCAGAGGTCTAGCCGATGTCTCCTCAAGTTCAAGGGGATAAGTGAGACTCTTTCCGGTTTCTGTCGTGAACGTTCTAGGCCTGCCCTGACCTGGTCCCTGAGGCCTGGGGATGCCAGGCCTGGACGGCTGGACCCGGGTCCCACGCACCGGCCCTGCAGCCAGCGTGGAGGCAAGGGCCCAGGGACTCACACACTCAGAACTTGGCCCATGCCCGCCCACCTCCTGAGAAGGTGGCACGGTTGGCCCCTGCAGCCCGGATGCTGTCCTCTGGGGGTCACGGCCTTGTCTTCGCTGCCCATTCTCTGCCTGGCCCAGCCTTTCTATTTCGCAGTCACTGGCCCCTCTTCTCAGGTGACAGAGAAGCTGAAGCTGGCGGAGAAGACAGCTATGGACATCGACCGGCTGCGGGATGGCTACCGGCCGGCTGCCCGGCGGGGCGCCATCCTGTTCTTCGTGCTGTCCGAGATGGCCCTGGTCAACTCCATGTACCAGTACTCCCTGACCGCCTTCCTGGATGTGTTCGCGCTGTCGCTGAAGAAGTCGCTGCCTGATTCCATCCTTGCAAAGCGCCTACGCAACATCATGGACACCCTGACATTCAACATCTACAACTACGGGTGCACAGGTGCGTGGTATCCGCTCCGCTGCCGCCGCTGCCAGGGCGCCTCCAGTGGGTCCCGCCAGCTCGCCTGAGAACACACACGCGCTCAATATACCAGTGTATCCTAGCAAAATGGATGCCTGGTGATAAATACAAAAGATCTAACACATGAATTGTAGAATCCTAAAACTGAAAACAAGCCCGGTGCTGGTGGCGCACACCTGTAATCCTAGCTTCTGAGGAGGCTGAGATCTGAGGATCATGGTTCAAAACCAGCCCAGGCAGGAAAGTTTGTGGGACTTTTATTAACCTCCAAAAAGTCAGAAGTAGAGCTGTGTTTCAATTGGTAGAATGCCAGCCTTGTGCAAAAAAGCTAAGGGATGGCGCCCCGATTTCAAGCTCCGGGACAGGCACAAAACAAAACACCAAACACGCCTGACTTCAGTAGAAGTGGGGACATTTTTTTCGGTTAAAAAAAACTTTGCTGAGGAAGGTGAGAATCCCAGGGCGGTGGCGCCAGGCCCCACCCCTGCAGGCCAGTGAGCAGCCCAGGTGCTCCGGCCCCACAGGTGGCGTGGGGCATTGCTACACACGGGCTGCGCCTTGAGCTCGGGCCAGGCCTGTGGTCCGCCACCATCCCGCCCACCTGGGGCCCAGGCCAGCTCCTCCCGCCCGTTCCACCACCCTGCTGCCAGCCACTGGGGGCGCAGCACCTGCTGCATCCAGCCTGCCGAGCTCGGAGCCTGTGCCTTCTGCATGTCGGGCAGATGAGGAGGGGTGAATGGAGTACGCCAATGGGGTTGTCACCCCCCTGCTCCCCAAAGCTAAGCCCCCTGGTTTCCGAATGAGCACGTGTCCCCACAGGGCTGTTCGAGAGGCACAAGCTGCTCTTCTCCTTCAACATGACCATCAAGATTGAGCAGGCCGAGGGCCGGGTCCCGCAAGACCAGCTCGACTTCTTCTTGAAAGGTTCTGCCACTTGCAGCCCTCTTCGCCCATGGGGAGCGCTCGTCCCAACCAGCACACCACCCCAACACGCTCCTTCCGGCTTGGCTTCTAACCAGCACACCACCCCAACACGCTCCTTCCGGCTTGGCTTCCAATGCACGGCCTCTGCTGGGCCCCAGAGCGGCGCCCAGCAGGCTGGTTGGGTCAGGGGACGGGGCCAGCCGCTCCTTCCTCCCAGACCCTCCTTTCCTCTGGTGCATGAGATGGCCAAGTGCCCAGCTGCTTGTGTGGCATGGGCAGTACTGGATAGCATGGGCATCACCGGGGGGAAGTGTGGGCAGCACCGGACGGCATGGGCAGTACATGGTGTGTTCTCCTCGACGGTTAGGAAACATCTCCCTGGAGAAAAGCAAGAGGAAGAAGCCATGCGCTTGGCTGTCTGACCAGGGATGGGAAGACATTATTCTTTTGTCAGAAATGTTTTCTGAAGAGTTTGGGCAGCTTCCTGACGATGTGGAGGACAAGCTGACGGTCTGGCAGGAGGTGAGCTCTTCTCTCTCCTCTTCCTTCCCGATGGCCAGTGAGTGTAGGTGTGTGACACCAGAGCATCGCTGAAACCTGCTCAGAGCCCTCTGGACAGCTCCCTGGCCAAGCTGGCCGGCTGTACGAGAGAAACCAGTGTCTCTGTCCACCCACCGTCCATCCGTCATTCATTTGTCTGTCATTCGTCAGCCATCCATCATCCATCTACCATCTACCCATCTATCCATCCACCCACCCACCCATCCATTCACCATCCTTCTATCCACATACCTATCCCTCATTCATCTATCATCCATCCACGCATTTGTCTACCCACCAACCACCTTCTTTCCATCCATCCATCCATCATTTGCCATACACCATCCAGCCTCTCGTTTATCATCCACTCATCTGTCCATCCATCCATCCATCCATCCTTCCACCCAAGAAATAGCTCCTTGGGCATCTATCAAGTACCATGGACCTAAATGGACACTGGAGAGACCACAGTGAGTGGGCCTCAGTTTCTCCTGTTCTGAAGTTCATAGTTTTTGCCGTAGACAATGCCAGCACTGCTGCTGTTCGGCAGCAGGGACCTGCGTTCATCCGTTGTGCCCTCCCCCTCCGTGTGTGGGGAGGGTGGCACGCCCTCCCAAGGTGAGCACTGCCAGTGTCTGTCTTGTGCGCAGTGGTATGACCTGGACTCGCTGGAGCAGTTTCCCTTCCCCCTGGGCTACGATAAGAACATCACGCCTTTCCAGAAGCTGCTCATGCTGCGCTGTTTCCGCGTGGACCGCGTGTACCGGGCAGTGACGGACTACGTGACCATTGTCATGGGCGAGAAGTAAGTGTGTGCCGCCTCTCCGCACCACCCGGCTCGGGCGCCGGGGCGCAGTGCTCAGCACAAAACAGTGGGGGAAATGCTTCCGTTACCTTCATTTTAACTGAACACCTGATGCCCATGCCGACATGTAAACAAAGGATTCCTGTCCTCATTTGACGTAGTGGCATAAACAGCATCCACACACTAGTCAGGCCTTGTTGGATTCCTGGGGTGTACACCTGGGGTACACACCCGGGGCAGCCACGCAGCACATGGGGTGATGTTGGAGCACCAAGCCAGCCAGAGGCTACAAACACAGGTGGGCACGGGGGGATGACACTGGAATGGGCAAACAAGAGAGTTGGGCAGCGGCGAGGCCCTGGGGAGCCTGCTCCTCTCCTCCACACACTCTAGAAAGCCACGTGCTTGTGTGGAGCCATGGCCGCGGTGCGGACGGCTGTCTCGGCCGTGGCTCTCATGAGACGCCAGAGGCTAGGCAGCCATGGGCAGCGCGGCGGCCCCCCTGGAGATGGGCTGGTGGGGAACCTTCTGCGCAGCCCCTCTGGTTCACCCACCTGGAAAGCAGTCGTCCCCCGTGTGGCCAACTTGCTGGAGTTAGGCGGGGCCTTGGTACTTTTCCACCTGGGTGGAGCGGGTTCTTAACCAGGAAGACAGTACTATGGGAAAGAGGCAGACGGAAGGTTCTGGATGTGGTGGAGGAGAGGATGCTGACCAGATGGGTGACTCCTGGTCTGCGCGGCCCTCCAGGGAAGGTTTTCAAAGCTTCTTTCCTCTGCCAGGTACGTGCAGCCCCCGATGATCAGCTTTGAAACCATCTTTGAGCAGAGCACCCCCAATTCACCCATTGTGTTTATCCTGAGCCCCGGCTCGGACCCCGCCAGTGATCTGATGAAGTTGGCCGAACGGACAGGCTTCGGGGGGAACCACCTCAAGTTCCTTGCCATGGGCCAGGGGCAGGAACGGGTAGGCCTGGCACCAGGGGCACAGTGCCCTTCCTCCCTGGGTGGAAGCAGATCGTGCCCTTCCCGCCTGTGCCTGTGGGCTTGCGGGCCACACAGCGGCGAGCGGGCGTCAAAAGGTGACAGTGTGGCCACCGTGCTCTCAGCCCTGCGGCCTCGGCCCATGCAGCGCAGCGTCCTCAGCGCTCCCCCTCCCCCACGTAGGCCAGAAAGGGGGTGGGGAGCCCAGCCAGGGTCCTACAGACAGGGCAGACGGGCAGGTGCAGCCGCAGCCTGCTCGCGCAATGTCCTGACATCCAGGCCCATGGCAGGCTGACCACCAGTCCTGGCTTTGCTGTGTGGTGTCTGTGTGGCTCTGGGTGGACACCGCTGCTGGTGCCCACAGCGAGGCTAGGACGGGAATGGTGGAGCCGGATAGGAGAAGCTTCTCCTACCACAGAGCCACAGGACGCACACGTGCTGAGTCTCCTCAAAGCCCAGGTCTTGCTGGGGGGTAGAACTTGTTTTTGCGCCCCGCCTTGCTCTTCTCTGGATTCGCCAGGCTGGTGCTGCTTCCCCTCAGCCCTGCCTGGTGACTGTGGAGACGGTCGGGCTCCCTGGGCGAGATAGGCCCCAGGGCTCCTACTGGAGCTGCTACTGGCTTCTCCTGTCATGGCTGTGCCCCATCGTGGGGCGAGCCCAGGACCGGCCCCACTCAGCAACGCCCTCTTCCCTGCCCGGCAGGTGGCACTGCAGCTGCTGGAGACGGCGGTGGCTCGCGGGCAGTGGCTCATGCTGCAGAACTGCCACCTCCTGGTCAAGTGGCTGAAGGACCTGGAGAAGTCCCTGGAGAAGATCACCAAGCCGCACCCCAGCTTCCGCCTGTGGCTCACCACAGACCCCACCAAGGGCTTTCCCATTGGCATCCTGCAGAAGTCCCTCAAGGTCAGGACCCGGCTCCTCTCCCCAGCCCGGCTCTCACTTCTTTGCCTGGCTCTTGACAAGAAGCTGGCAGTCCAAGAAGTTGGAGGAGCCAGAAAGTCTACCTTTTCTTTTTTTCTCCCCCCTCCTCTCCATAGGTCATGGGCTTAAACTCAGGGCCTGGGCGCTGTCCCTGAACTCTTGCTCAAGGCTAGTGCTTTTCCACTTTGAGCCACAGCACCACTTCCAGTTTTTGGGGGATTAGTTGGAGATAAGTCTTTTGTGGACTTCCTGCCTGGGCTGGCTTTGAGCTGTGATCCTCAGATCTCGGCCTCCTGAGTAGCTAGGATTACAGGTGTGTGCCTCCAGGGCCCAGCTTTACTTTTTATTTGCAGTTAAGTACAAGGTTGAACTCAGGGTCATATGCTTGCTAGGCAGGTGCTCTACCCCTTGAGCCATGCCTTCAGCCGCAGTTTGCTTCTTTTTCAGATAAGGTCTTGTGCTTCTGCCTGGGCTAGCCTTAGACTGCCATCCTCTACCCCTGCCTCCTATGTAGCTGGGATCATGGCATGTGCTACCACACCGGGCAGGAAGCGAGCCTCTGGCGCAGCTCTTGCTGTGCTCCTGGTCTGTGACTCCTGTCGGGCTGTTCTGTCATGCACAGGTGGTCACAGAGCCGCCCAATGGGCTCAAGCTGAACATGCGGGCCACGTACTTCAAGATCTCCAACGAGGCGCTGGAGCAATGCCCGCACACGGCCTTCAAGCCCCTGGTCTACGTGCTGGCCTTCTTCCACGCTGTGGTGCAGGAGAGGAGGAAGTTCGGGAAGATTGGCTGGAACGTCAGCTACGACTTCAACGAGTCTGACTTCCAGGTGAGGCCTTGTCCCCCCCCCCCCGCCACACGCACCCTGGGCGCTGACCCCGCAGCCCCACGCCTGACTTCCAGGTGAGGCCTTGTCCCCCCCGCCACACGCACCCTGGGCGCTGACCCCGCAGCCCCACGCTCCCGCCTGCTGTGCACTCCCCCCCCTCCCCCCGCTGTTGGATTACTCTGACCACACTGCTCTCTCCCTAAGGTGTGCATGGAAATTCTGAACACGTACCTGACGAAGGCCTTCCAGCAGCGCGACCCCCGCATCCCGTGGGGCAGCCTCAAGTACCTTATCGGGGAGGTAGGGGGCTGGGGCCCCTGAGCCCCGGAACCCCCTCCTGCTCGAGCTCCCCTCTGGCTCAGCACCAGCTTTTCTTGGTTCCCAGTGAGCTCTTCACAGTGGTGCCCCGCCCTGCCAGGAGGCCCTGGGCGGTGTCCTCTTGTCACCCGCACCCGGGCCCTGGGACAGCAACTTCCAGCACGGTGGCCGTGCGGGGCCGGGAGCTCCTGCTCTTTCCTGGGGCCACCTCCGGCTTTGGGCCCCATTCTGGGCAGGATCTGGTAGAGCAGGCCTGGGGTGCACAGGACCCCAAAGGTCATTCCAGTGGCATGTGACAGGCGCCCCCCGCCCCCACCGCAGGTCATGTACGGGGGCCGCGCCATTGACAGCTTCGACCGCCGCATCCTGACCACCTACATGGATGAGTACCTGGGGGACTTCATTTTTGATACTTTCCAGCCATTCCACTTCTTCCGGAACAAGGAAGTGGACTACAAAATCCCTGTGGGAGATGTGAAGGACAAGTTTGTCGGTGAGGGCTCCAAAAGAAAGGCGGGCTTGTTCACCTGTGAGGAAGCGGTGCCTCCCACTGCTCGGCCGGCAGTGGTCTGGGGAGTGAGCGCCTCGCTGGGGGGGGGGGCGGCTGGGCGGCCAGGGGTGCGGCATTGCTCTGTGAGGGCCGGCAGGGGTGCAGCGTTGCTCTGTGAGGGCCGCAGTGGGTTCTGCGCAGCTTGGCAGCTCTGGTCTCCTGTCCTTGATGGTTGTCAAATTCCACTGCAAGGCCAGAGTGGCCCCCGGAAGCTCGCTGAGCCATTTTCATCAAACATGAATACAGGTGCGCTGGGCATGGTGGTATAAAAATATATCAGACCGGGCACTGGTGACTCATGCCTGTGAAACCAACTACTCAGGAGACAGATCTATGGATTATGATTCCAAGCCAGCTTGGGCAGAAAGTCCCTGAGACTCTTACTTCCAATTAACCAGCAACAAACTGGAAGTAGAGCTGTGGCTCAAATGGTAGAGCACAAGCCTTGAACAAAAAAGCTCAGGGACAGCGCCCAGGCCCTGAGTTCAAGCCCCAGGACTGGCATACACACACACACACACACACACACACACACAGTGTCAGCCACTTGTCAGTGGACATTGTTTCCATAGCGGTGGGTGTCAGGAATCAAGGGTGGTTTGAACGAGCCTGTTTGTTCTCTGTGATTCTAGAAGCGATTGAGGCCCTCCCACTTGCTAACACACCTGAGGTGTTTGGTCTGCATCCCAACGCGGAGATCGGCTACTACACGCAGGCAGCTCGAGACATGTGGTCTCACCTGCTGGAGCTGCAGCCGCAGACAGGTGGCGTGGCGCCCCAGGGAGGGCGCAGGTGCTGCTGTGTGGCGCTGAGCGCCTTCCTGTCTCGTCGCTGCCTTTGCTCAGGCCAGCGGCCTTGGGAGCTCTGTCCGCCGCACTGGCTCTCACAGTGTCTCCCTTGCAGGCGAGTCCAGCTCTGGCATCAGCCGCGATGACTACATCGCCCAGGTGGCCAAGGACATAGAGAACAAGATGCCCAAGGTGTTTGATGTGGACCAGGTCCGGAAGCACTTGGGCCTGGGCATCTCGCCTACCTCGGTGGTGCTCCTGCAGGAGCTGGGGCGCTTCAACAAGCTGGTGGTGCGCATGAGCAAGTCCTTGGCCGAGCTCCAGCGGGTAAGCGCCGGCCCCGCGTGGCGTGTGCTGCTGTCCTGGTGCAGCCCCTGGGGTCTGCGGTTCACCTCGATCACACCGCTCCGTCCACAGGCCCTGGCCGGGGAGGTTGGAATGAGCAACGAGTTAGATGACGTAGCCAGGGCTCTCTTCCTGGGGAGCATCCCCAACATCTGGAGAAAACTTGCCCCTGACACCCTGAAGACCCTGGGAAACTGGATCGTCTACTTCCTGAGGCGCTTCCACCAGTACACGACATGGGTGAGTGCTGCAGCCTGCCGTCCACAGGCTCAAGTCCCCCCGGATGCCCTCCAACCAAGCCTCACCCCTGTCCCCTGCTCCCCAGTAGGGCCTTTGGTGGGGTCTCGGGGGTTTTAGAATTGTCATCTATCTTTTTCCCTTTTCATCTTTGACTTTGGAGCATGTGTGTTCCGCCTTAAAAACACCCCATTGGGGCTGGGAAGGTGGCTCAGTGGTAGAGCGCTTGCCTTGCATGCGTGAGGCCCTGGGTTCCATTCCTCAGCACCACATAAGCAGAAAAAGCCAGAAGTGGTGCTGTGGCTCAAGTGGTAGAAAGCCAGCCTTGAGCTGATAAGAGCTCCGGGACAGCGCCCAGGCCCAGAGTTTAGGCCCCACAACCGACAAAAAAAAAAATAATAATAATAAAAATAAAAAGAAGCAGGTGCCAGCAGCTCACATCTATAATCCTAGCAGCTTAGGAGGCTGAGATCTGAGGATCATGCTCCGAGCAAGTCCAGGCAAAAAAAACAAAACAACAAACCCCACCCCTTTGCCCCTCCTGTTCCTAGTCGATGGTTTCTCTGAGTATTTTTGGTTAACAGCATTTCAGTACCGTCTTCTGCTAGTCTATTTCATGGGTAAATTTTGTGGAAGAGTTGGATCAAAGAGTAAGTCCACTTTAAATTTTGAGGGTCTCGTCAAGAGGATTTCTAGAAAAGCCCAAAGTATTTGGATGGGCCATTTGTTCTGCTCAATGATGAAGAAAACGTTTAGGTTTGGCATTTATGTATTTCTGAATATATTTGAGATGCTTTTAGACATCGTGTGTTTTCTGTAAAGTGTCTTTTTGTGTCTTGATTTGTTTAATAGAGGCCTCCGTCTTTCTCATTGATATTGAGTTGTTGTTTGCATGTGCGAGAAATGATCTTTTCATCTACCAGGGCTGTGCACCCCTCTGCCAGTGATCCTGGACCTTCCAACTTTGTGTACAGTGTCTTCTCCATAGAAAAAAGATTTAAGTTTTAGGCAGTCAGATGAACCTGTTGACGGTGTCTGGGCTTTGTGTTCCCTGAGGATTTTGAAAGCTGCCATTGGAGTTGGATTTGATCCTCCCGTGCTTTTCCTTCTGTAACAAAACTTTTGATCCCCTTGGGACTCGAAGTCAGCTTGTCCCCCATGGCTGCCCGCTGTGCCAACTCCCGTGTTTGCCACCAAGATGGAATGTCTTTTTAAAAAAATGTTTAAATGGTTATTATAAAGGTGATGCACAAGCCGGGCGCTGGCGGCTCCCGCCTGTCATCCTAGCTACTCAGGAGGCTGAGATCTGAGGATCAAGGTTCAAAACCAGCCTAGGCAGGAAGGTCTGTGAGACTCTTATCTCCAATAAACCACCAGAAAACTGGGCGTAGAGCTGTGGCTCCAGGTGGTAGAACACTAGCCTTCAGTGAAAAAGCTCAGGGACAGTGCCCAGGCGCTGAGTTCAAGCCCCAGGACTGACAAACGAATACAGTGTACAGAGGGATTAGCATGTCATAAGTCAGGTAAAGAGTACATTTCTTTTTGGACAATGTCACCCTTTCCCTCGCTCACTGTTTTCCCCTCCCACCCACAAGTTGTGTAGTTCATTTTCAACATAGTGACTAGTGGGTGCCACTGCTGTGCCCCCTCCCTTAAACACTCCTGGAACATTGTCTTTTGTCCTGAGCTGAGGTCCTGGGGCCCTGGGGCTCGGAGGCCCCAGCTCTCCCTATGCTCCGCTTTCTCTCCAGGTCACAGAGAACGAGCCGAGCGTCATGTGGCTCTCCGGGCTGCACATTCCCGAGTCCTATCTCACAGCCCTGGTGCAGGCCACCTGCCGGAAGAACGGCTGGCCGCTAGACCGGTCCACCCTGTTTACGCAGGTGACCAAGTTCCAAGATGCAGATGAAGTCAATGAGCGGGCAGGCCAAGGTACAGTGCGCTCGGTGCGGGCCCGAGGTGCAGGCCAGCATGATAGCCCCTCACTTGTTCACCACCATCCTGAGAGTATTTCCTCTGGAAACTATCTGGAGTGGCTGGCTCCTGCCCGTCTGTGGAAAGCAGGCTCTCGGGTGGGGACAGAGCTAGCTCACCCTCCACCTGACAGCCAGACGGCCTGTGGACAGGCTTGGTGGGGCCACTGGAGGATGCAGAGGTGTCAGTTCTTTCTGAGCTGTTCCTGGGCCATACTGCCCGGGTCAGGGCCCATGTAAGTCCTCTTGGGCCAGTTTGAGGAGAGAGGGTCGATGGGTGCAGCTCACAGAGCCAGCTGCAGATGAGGTCTCACTGGCAAGTCCCCGACTGTCATTCCCAGGGGGGCAAATCACTGTCTCCCCACCTGTCTCTTCACGGCCTGCAAGCCACCTCAGGAGGCCTGTCCTCCGTGGGCTCTCCAGCCCCTTTGACTCAGGGAGGCTGGGCTGCTGGGTGCCAGCTCTGACCATCTCTGAGCCAGGTGCCCGCTACGCCCGGCCCCTGCATCTGCAGCATGTCCTGTCTGCCTGGGGAGCCAGGCAGGGTAGAAAGGAGGACAAGGCCTGTTGTGTCCTGTGAAGGCCCAGTCAGTGGCTTGCTGCGGTCCTGTGCATCCGCACAGTGGCAGACAACCGTGGCCCTGGTGTATGTGGCCCTTCTGCTGTCCCCAGGGTGCTTTGTCTCAGGACTGTACCTGGAAGGTGCTGACTGGGACTTAGAGAAAGGCTGTCTTATCAAGAGCAAGCCCAAGGTGCTGGTGGTGGACCTGCCCATTCTGAAGATCATCCCCATCGAGGCCCACCGCCTGAAGCTGCAGGTGAGGCCCTGCCGCACAGGAGCGCTTTCTGTGCGTGCCTTTTTACGCGGGGGCTGGCGAAGCTCTAAGGGCTTTCTGGGTAAATGCCTGGAGACACTGGTGTGTGGACACCTGTTGGGTCAGGTTCAAATTCAGATCGTGTGCTCTGGACGTAGAGCCTGTCGTCACTGCTTGAATTACAAAGTGTACCTGGGGGCAGCGGGCATCCTGTCCCCAGTCCCGGCCACCTCTGCGGAGTCACCTCTGCAGAGCGCAGTCCTCAGGCTGGCCGAAGGCCGCGCACGCCCAGATGCGGGCTGGACACCTTACCGGCCTTTCCCTTGCAGAACACCTTTCGGACGCCTGTCTACACCACCTCCATGAGGAGGAACGCCATGGGGGTCGGCCTGGTTTTTGAAGCCGATCTCTTTACCACGAGGCACATTTCTCACTGGGTGCTACAGGGCGTGTGCCTCACCCTGAATTCTGACTAACCCAGGGTGGAGCGCGCTGCAGGGACTCTGCGCTCCTTAAAGAACAGTCTAGAGGTGGGGGGGGGGGGGAAGGGGGGCTGGCCCAGCTTCCTTTTGTCTGAAATGAGTCACCGAAATCTAATAAAGTAGCCTGCGCGGTTTTGCTGTCTCAAGGCTTCTGTGTTCATAAGCTACAGAGAATTTTATGATGTGCCACGTCCTTAGCCCCACGGATTGCCCAGGGTACCTGGCGCCAGGAAGCGCTTGGGTGACTGTGGGGTCCGGGCGGCAGCGGCTGCTTGCTGGCCAGAGCCCGGTGCTCTAAAGCCAAGGCGGCGGGAGGGGGAGGGGCAGGGCCTCTTCCTAGCTGGTGGCCGCCTGCAGCTGATGCTCAGCGGGAAGCTGGGGCCTTGACTGCGGCCCAGGCGGGGTCAGCACCTGGGCTCCTGGCCTGGAGCCCTGCCTGGACCTCAGGTGTGTAGAATATTCTAGACAACAGCCTGGGCAGCCAGTGCGTCAAATGCCAGGACCTGAGTTTCCCTCCTTCCCTCCCTCCCTCCTCCCTCCCAACCTCCCTTGGTTGGTTTAATAAAACACACGAAACAGAAGGAAGGCAGGTTTAGAAAATAAAGTTTGTTGGGATCTTGAACATTCTGGATACTACTAACAAAGAAAATATGAGCACACGTTGGGGTTGTGCGACGTGAGGAGAAACGTCATCTTATTTAGCTCCTGGGACATACATATGGCTGCGCGGTGGCGCCGGTGCCGCCTGGGGTGGGGTGGGGCTCCAGGCGGGGGGCCCTGCTCGGCACAGGCCGCCCTGGGGCGGGGAGGGGGACACATGGCTCCGCCCGTGTACTTGAGGCGTGTACTTTGGTGGCTGGGGGCTGGAAGCGAGCGGCGGCGGGCGCGGTGCTGTGGGGCGGACGTGAAGCTGTCTGGCATGCGTGGGGGAGGTGGCGCGGCCCCCTGGCTCACAGTGCGTGGCCGGCGCGGCTGGCCGGCGGGCTTCACACAGTTCTGTCCGTCCCCGAGTGCTTGCGCACGACCTTCCCCGCGTTCACCTGGTCCACTGCCAGCGTCTCCACCTCGGGCTGCGCCTGCGGCGGGCTGGCGTGGTGGATGCGGTGGGCCACGCCAACGTGGGCCTTATGTGGCTTCTCGCGGGCTGGGCTCTGCTGCCCGCTGGCCCCGCGGTCCGAGGCGATGGGTGGGATGACCAGCGGCCTCTCCCTGAGCTGCACCTCGGCCGACTCCCGGGCCAGCAGAAACGGGGTGGGGTCGGGCATGGCGTCCACCGGCTCTCGCAGGTGCAGTCTGCGGCTCTCAGCCCCGAACCTGTAGACCTCTTCGAACTCGGGGTGCAGCGGGGCCGAGAGGCTCTTCTTCATGCGGCGGCGGGGCGTCTCGGGCAGCTTGTCTTTGGGGGGCGCCGGCTTGTAGCTGGCCAGGGGGCTGCCGGCTGGGCTGGCGTCCGAGGTGCCGCTGGAGCTCAGCAGCTTCTTCTTGGCGGCGTGCAGCTGCGAGGTGAGGTAGGCCACGGTGCCCGCCCGCTGCTCCAGCTCGGCCGACAGCAGGCCCAGCTTGTGGCTCTTCACCTTGAGCTCCTCCAGGTACTTCTTCTCCCGCTCGCGGATGGTGTTCTCCAGCACAGCCATCATGGCGCTCTTCTGCTCCAGCTCCTTCAGCAGCTCCTCGTTCTCCTCCTCCTTGGCCTGCAGCTGGGCTTGCAGCTCGGCACAGCGCCTCTTCAGCTCACTGCTCCTGGAAGAGCCATCGCCTGCCACAGGAGAAAAGCCAACATGCCCAGGGCTGGATTAGAGCCCCGTCCTCCCTATACATGGGCTGGGCTCTCTGAGGCCCCTTCCGGCTCCCGGATCCCTGGATTGTGGTGGAATAGAATGTCTCCAAGTTTTCAAAAAGCTGAAGCCAACACAGGCAAGCTGAGAGCATCGGAGCTCCAGACTCAGATAACAGCGCCAGCAGAGCATCTGTCTGTCTGGTCCAAAGCTCTGCTTTGGATCTGTAGTCTCGAGAATTCCCTGTGTCTGCCCAGTGCTCGCGCCTATAATCTCAGCTTACTCAGGGGGTTGAGATGTGAGGATCAAGGTTCAGAGCCAGCCTGAGCAAGAAAAGTTCTTGAGACTCCTACCTCCAATTAGCCAGCAAAAAGGGGGAAGTAAAGCTGTGGGTCAAGTGGTAAGGTGCCAGCCTTAAGTGAAAAAGCTGAGGGAAAGCACCTCAGTTATACAGACACCCACGTACATGTGTGTACAGCATGTCGCATGAAGGGAAGGCGTGTTGGCCTGGTCCCCCTCCTCCGCCACTCCTGTCCTGCTCCCATGGGGAGTGGGGCTGCTCTGCCCCGTCCTAGGCGAAGCCTTTCGCCTACGCGTCACCTGCCCCGCTCTGCCACACGCACGCGGGTGTACCCAGCGTCTCTGAAGCAACGGACCACCGGACATGACCCTCAAGTCCATGCTGCTGCTCCTCTGCCCATGACTTGACTTTCCAACCTCGCCCACAGCCTTCCGGGCCTTCCTCCTGAGCTCAGCCGCAGTCGCCGCCCGCCAGCACGGCCGTCTCCTCTCTGCCCTGTGCAGGGGAAGCCTGCTCCTCCGGCTCCTGACATCCTAAAAAACGTCATTTCCAGGCTTCCTGCTGCCTCCTCCTGTCAGTCCTTTGCTCCCTCAGAAGCCCCAAGTCAGCCCTGCCCTCCCTGCTCCTCTTGGAGGTGGGGACGGCTATGGTGGTCCTAACTCTGAGCGGATGCGTTCAGCTGTCCTGCAAACTCTGTGGCCCGCACGGGCCCCTGAGCATCTGAGCCTCATCCGTCCGTCCCATCTGCCTGAGCGGCTCACTGCAGGCGAGAGCGTGCCGTGAACGAGCAGGAGGCTGGCAGGTGGCCTCCCGGGGCGAGGAGTCCTATCCCCGCTGAAATGCACTGAGGGTAACGGCCAGCCCCTGTGGGACGCAAGGCCCGGCAGCCGGGTTGGCACCCACCTTCTCCCCCAGCGGCCAACGCCAGCCAGGACCCCCCTCAGCCTTCGTCCTTTACCCAGGCTATTCTGCCAAGGGCTGAGAGATGTTGGAACATTCTAGAACAGACTCTCCTTGGTTGTGCTGTGTCCTGCCAAGGACAGCTGCCGGGTGGCTTGTGATGGCCGTGGGCTCTGGGGACACGTGGGACTTGCCTTGGAGGAAGATAAGCTCAGACATCATGGAGCCCGCAGAGGCTCTAGCTCAGGGCATTGGTGGCCCCAGCCAGACGCCTATTGGGCAGAGCGTCCCTGCCCTCCAGGGGGCATCCTGGGCTCCACAGTGGTATTTATTGGGCCCAATTTGGTGGGTGCAACGGGGAGGAGCTGGTGGTATAGACCGTAACACAAACACTTCTACCTTTCTCTCCATGGAAACCGATGACCCAGGCTGCTCCAGACCTTGGGCTTTCAGTCTGCCAGGAAAGGGATGCAGGAGTCTTTTTGGCCAGTGTCCAGTGCTTCTCGGGTTTGGGCCCATTTGGGGTACACTGACGGGACCTGTGATTTCCCCCAGAGGCCATTCAAACCACCCAGCTCCTCTGGGCAGCACTCACACACTGCTGCCAGGACCCCAGAGTGTGTCTGTCCTGGGGTGGAAGCTGGGGGTTGTGACCCGACACCTGGAGGGACCACTGGGCATGTGCCTGCTGCTACAGATGAGCCTGGCGGGGGGGGGGGGGCGGCAAGGGCAGGTCGCCCGGGGGCCACCACGTGACACTGCCGCATCTGCTATGGCCGTGCTGGAATCCTGCCCCCCAGTTCTGGGGCACTTTGGGGAAACTCCTGAAGGCAGGCTCCTGTCCCGATATCTGAGGGCCTGATGGTGCCTTCCCACACTCAGAAATGAGGAGGCCGCAGGCAGTGGCGTGAGGACCGGGACGAGCTGCGGCTTCCACGGGGGCTGAGCAGGGCTCTACCCGCCACGGCGCTTCGGGGCAGGGCCACTGCCTGGAGCAGATTCTGAGTCTGCCCGGGCTGGCCCTGAAGGCCCTAGGGGCCAATGCCATTAGGAGGTGCTCCCTAGGGGTCCGGAGAAGGCTGTGTGGCAATGCTCAGGGCTACCTAGCATAAGCCCACTGCTCATGCCAGCACCAAGAGCCCCTGCTGAGCCAGGCCTGTGCTAGGTTCTGGGGACGTGGGGGCGGGGAGGCGGTGCTGCCAAGCCCCCAGAGGGGGCCGCGTCTGCAGGCGGATTCATATCCATGGTGGGAAGGTCAGACGATCCAGAAAGAGCATATAACAGTTTTTTTTTTTTTTTCCCCTGTTCTTCTGGTTGTGGGGCTTGCACTCAGCCTGGGCGCTGTCCCTCAGTTCTTCCACTCGAAGCTAGCTCTCTGCCACTTGAGCCACAGCACCACTTCTGGTTTTCTAGTGGTTTTATTGGAGCTAAGAGTCTCACAGACTTTCCTGCCCGGGCTGGCTTTGAACCTCGATCCTCAGATTTCAGCCTTCTGAGTAGCTAGGATGACAGGCGTGAGCCACTGGCGCCCGGCTAAAACAGACATTCTAAATGTGTGTCAAGGAGAAGGAATTCACTCTGCTTCTCCCCAGCTCCAAGTGGCCTGTGGGTAACTGAGGCGCCAACTTCCTTCTCATCTTCCCTCAGCGAGCCCTGGCCACGCGGACCTCCCTGCACGGCCCAGACGCTGTGCGTGTGCGGCCCTGGCCACGCGGACCTCCCTGCATGGCCCAGACGCTGGGCGTGTGCGGCCATGGGAAGGAACGACCGTGGGCACAAACAATGGCTCAGCCCTCGGCTCCCAGGGAGTTCTCACCTGTCTGTTCAGAGCCTCTGATGGTCAGCTCATATGTTAAATCTGCAAAGAGAATTGTATGCATGAGTTTGGTTATGGGAGACTTCACAGCCTTCAACAGCTTTGAAAAGAACACGTTTCCAAGATGGGCACTGTCCACAGCACACAGGGCTGGCTGCTCAGAGGCCAGAGTGAGGACCAACCCCGTCCGGCGGCCACTTCCTCCGAGACTGCCTCCTCCTTCCCCCATCCCCACACAGCACACAGGATGTCTGGTTATGGCTCCAACATGCAAGGCAAGCTCTGGCCACTGCAGTGTGAACCTGTAACACCCCAGGAGATGGTTGCCTGGCTCAGGCAGGGGGGGACTGTGGTGGGCCTCGGGTGCTGCCCCACCCCTCCCCGTGGCCCGCGCACCTGTGCAGTGCTGCTGTAGCCGGCGGATCTCGGCGTGCAGCCCTGCGAGCGTGCTGGCGTGCTCCCGCTGCAGGAAGAGCAGGTTCTTCTGCGCACTGTGCAGCTGGTTCTCCAGGTTCGCAGTGGCCATGCTGACATCCGGTGACCTGCAGGAGACCCAAGCTCTGGTCAGCACTGCCCAGGCAGTGAGGTTTGGGAGGACAAGCAGGATTCAAGCCCGGGCCTCCGGACGTCAACAAGGAAGCGCCCACGATGCCCCAACTGCAGGGGTCCCGAGCGGCACGGACACCCAGAGGGTCCTACAGTCTACCTGCAGTGTCATGAGGGTGCGCCGGCAGAAGCGAATGGCGGCTGCAGAGGCCGGGGCCTCCCCAGCACCCAGCTTCCGTCCTCCCCACTCAAGGCCTCCAACTCCCAGCCTTCACCAAGCCTGGGAAACGGGAAGCCAATCCAGCTTTCTAAAGCCACCGGAGTAACTCAAGGCCTGGCAGAGCACTGAAAATGCCAAGGACAAGTGTGCGCTGTGTTGGGATTATCCTTGCGAGCACCCAGGGCTCGCCGTTGGGCAGCAGGGGCGCGGCCTGCAGAGGAGGCACACCCAGGCGCGTGCCCGACAGCTCAGCGTTGGGGAGAGCAGCAGCATCGAGGACGTGGGACGCCCGCCCCGTCCCCCATCCCCACGCACAGACCCCACAGAAAACGCGACGACACCCCCACACCACCACAACCAAATGCGGGACACAGGGCAGCGGGAAACACGGTGAGGCTCTGCAGAGGGATTAACGGGAGCGGTGGGCAAGCCCCCTCGGCAGCTTTGGGACACGCCAGCCCTCCTCTGCAACCAGTTCTACTTCTAGAATCTTCCAAGGGGAAACTACTGCCTCTGAGTGAAAAGAGGTGGCAGGGTGCCAGCCATCACAGCACAATGCCCAGCCGCAGAGCTGGTTACAACGCGTGTGGTCCCTGGTTTCCTCGTACAGCTCGGGGTTGGTGTCCTGGCGGGGAGGCAGAGAGCTCTCCAGCAGTCATGGTGGACAAACAGCTTCCCTCCACGAGCTGCCTCCCCTACCACCCGACGCTCCCCACGGAGGCCTCGGGCCAGGAGCGAATGTCTGAGTGGCCCCGCCATTCCCGAGACCCCACCACACCTAACATCCGGTGCTCGTTTGCCAGGGAGAGGCGGGTGAGGGCGCTGCTTCTTGGGCCCCAGTTCTTGGATCCATTCTCATGTCTGCTCCTCACCCGTGGGGTCCTCCCTGGGCCTGACCCACCACAGGAGAATCGGCCTGTGCGCTCCTCCCCTGGAGCACAGCGGGGGCATCTGCAGAACACGGCCCGGCTCCCGCAGGTCTCCAGAGCTCACCTGTGTCTGGGAACTACAGCACTTGCGCGGAGCTGTGCCTGCTGCCCTCCCGGCCTCCGCTGGCCCCGGGCCTTGTGATGCAGCTTCTCTCCAGTTCCCTCCTCCCTGTGCGCTCTTCCTAGCCTCACCTGCCTGTCCCAGGACCCCTCAGTCCTCAGCTGAAGCCAGCCTCCCTTCAGGAAAAGCCCCGGCCCAGCTAGGCAAAGCTCCGTGGCCTGAGTCCTGGCCGACTGCCAGCGCAGGGCCGCCCTGCTGGTGTGTCCCACGCCCCAGGCGACCTCTTGTGCCTGCTGTACCCACCTGTGCCCAGCACCCAGGAGAGCACCGTGGCAGCAACGGGGAACCTCAGGGCCACAGAGCCTGTGTCCGGGCTTCCTAGTTCAGCTCTTGCAGACCTTCACAGACCTTGCTCCAGGAAAATGAGACACATGGAAGAATCCTAGGACTCCCGTGCCATCTCGCCCTGCCCTGATGCAGTACAGGTGTGCACATGGAAGCACACGTTCCCCTCTGACCTGCACTGGGGTCCTCAGTACCCCCACATCCCAATCACAGGGTGACATTAAATTTGTAGCCCATCTAAATATGGCTTAACTAAGTAGTCATATTCCAACCGCCTCGTCAGCCGCTCTGGACCCGGCTCTGCAGTCACATGCCCAGGAGTCACTGGATGGATCCACAACACCTCCGTCACTACGGGCGATGTCTCGCTGAGACAGCCCAGGTGCGCAGCGGAGCACGGCCCTGCCCTAGGCAAGGCTGGCAGGTGAGCGCCACGCTCGCACGGCGCTCCGGTGTTGAACCCCTTCACCCTCGGCCCTCCTGCAGCGTCAGCACCCCACCGTCTCCAGAAGACTCTCAAAGGCTCCCACAGGAAAATCCTCCTGTTCGGGGCCTTCTGTGATTGTCTGGACCGGCCTGAAGAGCATCTCCAGCAGTATCCGAAGTTAGTTTCTCACCAGCTCAACGGGATAAGGATACTGCCGACTTCCCCGTGGGTAAGAATTCCACAGCTCATGGGGCTGGGAAGGTGGCTCAGTGGTAGAGCGCTGGCCTTGCATGCTCCAGGCCCTGGGTTCGATCCCTCAGCACCACATAAGCAAAAAGAAAAACGCCGGAAGTGGTGCTGTGGCTCAAGTGTTAAGAGTGCTCGCCTTGAGCTGAAGAGCTGAGGGACAGCGCCCAGGCCCAGAGTTCAGGCCCCACCCACAACCGGACCCCCCCCCCAAAAAAAATTCCACAGCTCAAAAAGCAGCGGCGACTGCTGTTCCTATCCTAACTACGGATGCCACATCCTTGCTATGATGGCGTCACGGCAGCAGGTGAGCAGGGGCCGTGCTGGGAAGCTTCTTGCCCGGGCCAGTCACGGCTGAGAGGTGGTGGTCATCTGGGGGGAGACATGGAGTCACCGAGGGGACTAATGCAGCGGCCAGGCCGCCAAGGGAGTCGTGCGCCGGAGATGGGCGGGGTGGAGGCAGACACGCCGTCCGCATGGGGGAATGATGCCATCTGCCCAGCAGGTCAGGCCTCCGCGCAGGGCACCCTGTGTTGAAACACACAGCCCTGTGTGTTGAAAGGCTAACCTCTACCAATGCAGGCTCTGCGGCCCGGCCAGCCCAGTATTGTTCTGAGCCTTGCTGAGAGCCATTAGCTACTGTGGCCATTGCTCCACGAGAGGCCCCAGGGCCTGGATACAGGTCCCTTTCCTCTCCAAGACCCTCCCTGTGTCTGAAGTCCACCTCACTCAGCTGTCCCTGCAGACTTTCTGGGCCCACCCCACACAGCTCTGTAGTCTGTCACCAGAAAGCTGTAACAGAAGCAGAGGGGCTGGGCCCCCTGGTGACAAGGTCACCTTGGCCCTAACCAGAGGAGAAGCCACGTGGGCATGGGTTCCTGAGGCCGTGGAGTCAGCATCACATTTCTGTTCAGTTCAGAAACTAAGATCCTAAAAGGCTTTCCGTTGGAATTCTGGAGAGATGGCCCCGCAGACAGCCCAGACAGCCCAGACAGCCCCGGGGAGGAGGCAGCCAAGGGAGCCACAGTTCCCGGTGATCACAGGACTCTAATGGGGGCCCCTCCCCCACCCTCTCCCCAGCCAGGACAAATGGCCTGTCAGAACCCAGCCGTTGCTGCCCTCCCTCCTGCTCTCAGGGTATTAATGCATAAATGATAACCTAGTAATTTCATTTATGGACCATTTCTCCATGTCCTAGCTCAACGCCACTTGCCATCCTTGTCATTTGTCCCCACAGCCCTGCTGGCAGGGGAGGAGAATGCCCCACTGGGACAGAAAACGCCCATCATAAATAAAGTGGACCCCAGACCCGTAGCTCCTCCTGGCCCGGGGATCGGTGTGCAGGAGTCGCGAGTGGGTTTCATTTAACAAAGACACTCTGACACTGTCCAGCCGTACACAGGAAGTGCAGGGCAGGCCCAGCCAGCCCTCTCCTGGACGCAGGGCCTCAGCACCACAGCCTGCGCTCCAGGTCAGGAAAGGGCCCTGCTGAGCAGCCTGGAGCTTCCACCCCCAAGACCAGACCCCAAGACCGACCGACCAGACCAGCGAAGCTCGCAGCGCTCCCAGCAGGTGTGCGCGTGAAGGCAGGCGCTGCGCCAGCCTCTCACCTTTTCAAAGCAGCAAGGCTCACCGAAGAAAGAAAGGGAACTCTGACCCCACAGATCTGAGAGGTGCTGGTCCCAGGCCTGAGCCACGCAGTCTTGCTCACCATGGCCATCAGGGTGTCTGAGCAAAAGCTGCCCTGACTCACCTTTCCCCATCCCCTCTTGTTCTGCAGTACTGGGGTTTGAACCCAGGGGTCTTGCACTTGCTAGACAAGTACTCTGCCGCTTGAGCCCTTCTTACTCCATCCCTTTTCCCCTTTTTGAATCACACCCTGTTCCTTTCATGACTGTATGTCCCCTCACTGCGCCCATCCTGGTGACCCCGGTGACCCTGGTGATACCCGAGGCCTGTGCGGCGCCCCGCACGGCACGCCCTGGCTCATCAGCACTGCTGTGCCTTGGCTCCCGGGCATCTGCCGCACCCTTCCAACACCAGGGCCTTCGCACATCTGGCACCCTCTGCCTGGACTGCTCTTGGCAATTCCCGCCCCTTGCTAATTAACTTCCATTCTTCCCTCTGGTCTGAGTTCATGCATTACGTATTACTTCAGATCATTTTATCCTGCCCCATAATGGTGCTGAGTGCAGATCTGAACCCAAATTACATCCCATTAATCAAGAAGCACTGCAGCAGCATCGATTGGAACATGAGCTCATCCTATAACGCTCCGCAAGCCTCAGGTCCTGCAGACCACAGGGATGGGCTATCTTTGGGTCTCATCACTGCAAAACGGGATGTCTGCTCCTGTGCTATGAAAGGCAGACCTACCGTTTAGATGAACATAAAGCCCACAGACAGAGGATAATATAGCAGCACCCTGGAACTCGGGCTGTGAGTTAGTTAGAACGAGCTATTTTAGATTCTAGTTGTGAGTAAGTTATAACCTCTCCCCTGTGAAGAATGGAGTGCTCCCGCCCCCTCTCTCCGAAGGCGCTGTCCCACCGTGTGGCCCTCACCAGACTGCAGCATGAGGGATGGCACCGGAGGACCGCAGGGGCAGTCCTCAGGCGGCAAGTGCTGGGACGCAGGGGCTGGGCAGTGCGGGGAGGGAGAGCAGCTTCCAGCAAGGAGGGGGCTGAGCAGATGCAGGGCTCAGAGCACTGGAGAAGGCAAGAGACACCTTCCCATCAGCCGGCCCCCAACCTCGGTTCCAAAACCAACAACTCGAGGCCCTGAAGATCTGCTAAGCATGATGGGGCAGAAGGCTCACTTGCGAGGGGCTGGCCTGTGTTTGCGGCAGAAGCTGGGACCATTTAGGCTGACCCTCCAATGGTGGTCCCCGGCCCACAGCACTGCCATCGGTGCTGGATGCCACCATGGAGTCCCGTGTGTAGTGAGTGCTCAGGAATGTCAGCTGTCACTCCTATAGAAGAACAGTCCGCAGCTCTATAAATACCCCTTCAAATTGTCTACTTGGCCCTGGGAGTATTTCCTATACCACATGGGCATGGAAATGAGCTAGCAGAGAAATCCCAGCTCCTTCTGGAGAGGACAGTGCACAAGCAGAGCATTTTCTGGCGGCCTTGGCCTCCCCTTTAACCGCAGCTGGAGGGACTAGCATGGGGGCTGAGGGGTTGAGGGAAGGCCTACCTCTCCCTTGATGCGGCACAGAACTGGAGCTTGCAAGGCTGGAAATGGCCCAAGCCCAGTTCTCAACCCAACTGTTTTTAAGAAAGGACCCTCAATCCACTGGGCTGGACTCACAGCAATCCTGAAAAATAAACTATGCTCACCAAAGGCCCCATGATCCTTATGTGTGCATGTGCTAAAGAAATTCAACTACCGAGCAATTTGAAAAATACCCAAAGATTAGGCCAAGTTAAAGGAAAGCCAAGCATTTGACAGTGAATCCAGAAACATCCTGGCAAGAAGACCAAACATCGCTAAAGAATGCAAGCAAGCAACACTAAAAGCCAAGATGCAACTATTGTTTAGAGACAAAAAAAAAAAATCTTGCTCACTCATCATTCTTGATTACGGTGCCTTTTTCTTTTTTAACCTAATACAAACAAAAATATGGCTCGGGTATGAAGATCCTGGGATCCAGTTCTGGCAGGTGTGTTCAAGTTGCAGCCTCTCTAGGCCTCACCTTTCTCTACCGAGAGTAATCCCAATACCTGCATGTACAGCGACCAGGGGGATAAAATGGATTTTTTCTTTTTTTGGTAAAACACTTAGCATTATAACTGGCTGTGTATAGTAAGGTGAACTGCCTTCCAATAAATCCACAAGAGAAAACTGCCAGAAGGCGTCTCGTGGGACTGCCTATTTTCTGGGTAGGCAGCGGACATCTTTAGCTAACCTAGGAAAACAACAAACAACAAAAGCATATTTTGCACAAAGTATCCTGAATGTCTGTCATCTGTGCAACAATGAAGATGCGCTAGAGCTGCATTTATTGACAATGAGCAGGTCGGTGGTAGATTAGGTGATGTATATGCCAGGCTTGGTGGCACTTTGGAGGCCACAGTGGGAGGATCTCAAGTTCCAGGACAGCTTGGGCTACAGAGACTGTCACAAAACAAAAACTTGTATGTGTAACACCATTATAGCTGTGTGTGTGTGTGTGCGCACACACACATAGCAAACTCTAGGAAAACTGATGGCAACTTAATCCATCTCCATGGTGTGTGATGGATTTTTACTTAAAAATTCTATTTTAGAACTACCTAACACTTGCTTACCTGTGAGTATGCACACACTACTTCTTAGCCAGAAATCACAAAGTGGTTTCTCTTCAAAAAGACGATTGCTCAATATCCTCTAACAAAGTGTTAACAGATGTTGTTATACTACACTAGGTAATCCCGAACTTCAAGAACTGGCAGGAGTTAAGGGGAAGGCAATACGCTGGGTCTCCAAGATGCAGAAACTGACAAAGAGGAGGCAGGGGCGGCTCTGCCCCGCTGCTGCGCGCCTGTCATCCTGACTCCTCCGCACGGGGCTCACTGCTGCCTGGAAGCCCATGCCATTGTGACTAGAGGCTGGCCGCTGCACGCAGCAGCCCACGCAGGCATTTGATAACTGTGTTTCTCTGCCCTCTGATTATCTCATACTCTGACTTCCTATTTGGCTTCTGTGTAAAAACCATGTCCAGTTTCTGTACACTGGTAAGGGTGTGACCCCCTCGGTGAAGAAAACAGGTCTGTGGTGCAGGTTCTGGGGTCTCTAGGTGGGCTGTGCCGGCCAAGGCCGGAGTGCTTGGCTGCCAGCTGGGCCTCAGGGGAAAGAGCCTCCTATGGCCCAGCAGTCATCACCCTGAGGCAGAGCCTAGGGCAGGAGGCGGTAGCACCTCATCTGGCCTCCGCCCGGGAGGGGTGCTGGCCAGCTGAGCATGCTGCCTGAGGCACCCCCGACTTTTGGATTCACCAAGAGCGGGTCAGACAGC